GTTGGGGTGGAAATTATGGATGCAAACTTCTGTATTATGCGGAACATGAACTTTCGGAGGACACTTTTACTCCTGCATCATCATAACCATCATCTTTATCATCATCATCACCATTAGTATTAATTTTATGAATACAGTACGAAACGTCATGTTCCTCACAGACATCAAAACATTTCCCCTATATTTGTCCAGTAAACGATTTCGTTTTGTAAGGAAAGCTTCCAACACAACCTAACGACCCCTTCAACTTTGGTAATCGAAACTAGGGCATGTATACTATAATACTGAGAACTGAATGTAAAGAAAGACCGTTCAATGAAGCTTACATATACACATATAATGATAAATGGTCAACAAATATTATTGTACCTAGAAGCATAATTGATTCCTGAGTTTAAAGCCGCACTTTCCGGATTGAGTCAATACAACGTACCCTAAAACTACGATCATGGGTTCGAATCAGAATTCACTCTTAATATATTACTAGGTTTGAGCTACAGTATTAAGGTGTTCCTTGATTCCATCAGAATAGTAAGCGTCCAATACCTTTATTACTTTTTGATTTCATTCAATATTCAGGTGACAGTGATTGAAATAGTGTTGAAAGCAGCGTAGATCCTTGCATGACCACTATCGGATATCGAGGTGTGAATACTCAACAGCTTCACATTAGATTACATATTTCGTGTCACACTCCGGCGCAGTGATGACTCAGCATAACATCACTGCCACAGGCTAATTTGCATATCACGTGACCGGACTTTTCTCTTGTTTGTAAACAAACGCGCATATTCATAATAAGAAGAGACCGGCCTTACGCAAGTTTTCGGCGCGCCCTTCACAATGTTTTACATTGTTACATATATATTCTTCCCCAACTACGACAGTAAGATTTATGACGGTACATATTTAGATATTTAGTTTGCTCTCCGTCGGCTTCGATGACAGCACGTGGAGCCGTACAACCTATGTAAACAGAGGACCGCTACGCAGTTGAAATAGTGTTACACGTTTTAGGATATTTTCACAGTGAAACTACACCATTCTATCAAAGGTGTTTAATTAGATGTGTAGACTCGTCAAAAATTAAAGAGTTAAGAAATATGTACGTTATATTGAAAGGACGGTACAACATGTGACGAATCGTCACATCTTTCTGGCCTGTGGCAGAGGAACTATGCTTGCTGGCCGCATGGAACTCTGGGTAGGAGAGTGATTTCGTGTACAATGATATTCTGTATGGCAGTGAACCCGCGGTGCTTTGACAGCAGGAAAATTCAATAATATATTGTTGTTAACCGTTTCTGCCACATGTGTTCGGATATGACTTTGGGGCGGATGTGCCTTCTATTACTCTATGGCCTGAGGGTTATCAGATACATCAATCAGGTGAAATGAGTGTCAACATACTGGAAACATTACCTGACCCTGTCAACTATCGCCAGGAGGCCTAGGTAGTACTGAAAGGTGAGGGGATAATTACCTATCACTGACACTCTGAGTATGGTCAAGCGGCCTAACGGGTGGCTCGGCAGAGGGCAGATTTGCGACCCTTGGGCGTGCAGGAAACGAACACCATGGTTCGAATCCTCGAATAGATTCGCTTCTTGCGTTGTCCATATTACATCCGTGGTTGTGAACCTCACCACTGAACCTCACCACTGAACCTCACCACGCTATAGATTAAGGTGCATCATTCCCCACGCATAGGTTGCGGAGGAACGACTGTTCCTGCATAGTTGGTTGGTTGTTGTTTAACGCCGCACTCAGCAGTATCCCTGCTATATGGCGGCGGTCTGTAAATGATAGAGTCTGGACCAGTGATCACAATCCAGTGATCAACAGCATGAGCATCGATCTACGCAACTGGGATACGATGACGTGTGTCAACCAAGTCAGCGAGCCTGACCACCCGTACCCGTTAGTCTCCTCTTACGACAAGCATGGGTTATGAAGGCCAATTCTTACCCGGATCTTTACGGGTCGTTTCTGCATAGGAACGACTGTTTCATCCGTAATCTCCACTGGTCCCACAGGTGGTTCACAGGGTTTGTGACATGGGTGTCACGTTGCTTTCACTTATATCACGGTGTTTCAGTTAATTATGGGAGGTAAGCCCCAAGAAAGGTCTCAAAATTAATGTTTCCGATTTGGGGAAAAGGGACGCAACTCTGTACAGCGAGTTGCAGCGTCTCAATACTGAGGCATCAGCGGCTCCTGGACCCACTGTATGTGGAATGAACTTCATTGTATTATTTCAGTTAGGGTAAAATTCTTGTCTGCTTTATGCATGATCGTTCTCATAACTCATAATCGTTCAAGCAAAAGCTAACCATGTGTCAAACTGTTGTAAGGGGATTTCAGCACCTGTGTGTAATGTTAACACTCCATGCCACCCCCACCCACCCCTTTCCACCCAAAACACATCAACACATACACACCCAACTCAATCCCCAACACACCTACACCTGCAGACACGACCTACACGTGGTCAAATTCATGGTTGCTAACGCCCAATCTGACAAACCAGTGAATATACCAAGTTAAGAATCTAAGCGGCTGTGGCGATTATTTCGACTTATTGTAATCCAAACGCACACCAATACACAATTGCGATGAGCCTATGCTTTTCAGTCCCTGCTGAACACACTAATGGTGCCTCGATTACTCCTTAAAACAGGCTTAGAGGAACTGACGTGCGTGTCTAAATTAATATTCATGTGTACAAAATTCACAGTTGATTTTGTATCACAAGAATGACAGGATAATACCCGTAAATGCTTACCCGGTAACGCACATACAAATATACCTGTAAGTTTGTACATGTCGTGGACACAGACTTTAGTGTATTAGTTACGTATAAGTATAGTTTACAGTGTGATTTAGAATGGTTTATAAGAAGGGGGATTGCAGCACTGAACCTTGGGTGACTCCATGTGTTATTTTCACGCGCCGTACAGTAGTGCTGTCGTTCTGGTTAGTTGAACCAAGGTGATGACTCTATTTCTTAACTGACTTTTTAGAATGACTTATCCATGACAAACACATGACACATACGTGTGAGAAAAAAATGACTTACAAACAACTAATACATGACTATCACATGACTAATACAACACTATTCGTTATAAAGGCGCAAATTAAAAACATCGCTCACTTTTTACACCTGACCTGATGCATGCCTATTTGCAAGTCTTAAACTGCGGGATATTAACTCACAAATTCAAACAGGATACAAAAACAAACAAACTATGCAAATTTATAACTTCACTCAGTTCGGTGTTAGGAGTTCACGAGTAAGTTGACATATTTTGCATATATGTCAAAACAGAATTCATGATTATTAAGATTGATAACAGGAAATATGTTTGCATCGTTTACCATATACTTTCTCGCTTACCATATACGTTCGGATTTATAATCCATTTACTTAATTTTTCTTCAATGAACAGTTGATTTTGTTTGCATAATCATAATAAAATACAGACATCGAGTAAGAGGTAACAGGTAAGAGGTCTGGGTAAGACGTGTTTTTCAGCATTCGTCCCCTACTAGAAGTATGAGGCGACTTACGGGATGGGGTGGTCGGGATCGTTGATGTCGTTGATGAACGTCATTGTTTCCAAATTACTGAGATCGATGCACATGATATTTCACTGGAATGCATGTCCAGACTCGATAGACTTCATAAACTGCGCTTTCATTCCTTCCTCCGCCTCTTTGCAACATACGATATGTCTCATGACTGACATGCAACCATCTCCAGGAATATGCAGTGTTGTAAGTATCAGTGCCATCATAGGAATTCCTCAAAAGGAGATTAATGTCTTACGTTAATAATTCAAAATTGGATAGAATAACTAAAGGGTTAATTTGCTATTTTTCCAGGTGCATATCTGAAGGCCTTTAAGACTATCAAGATATGTGTGTACCGATGTACTCGCTGGGAAACCTTTGTCAAAAGCAGATGTGCAGTGTGAAAGCCAACCTTTATACCATGATGATGGAATCTGATATAGATATCAGTAGCCATGGTATCCACTTAAACATTGTAAGTACAGTGTATGTGATCATAATATAATTGAAGAGGAATACCATTGTCTTGGTTGGTCCATTTAACAAGGAAAGGGGAAACTTTACATCGACGGGCACAATTACATGTATCCATCGCGAACAAAAGGTAATCATTTATTCACATCAAAACCGTTTAGGTTATCAATGCCAGTTCAATGTATTAAACAAATACTAAAATAGTGTAATATTTGTCCCACCTGTCCTTGTGCCCGTGGGTGATCGTATGTATTGTAAACTTGGCCATGAGGCCTCGGGTAGGGAGTAAACCACGTGTTAGTGTTCTAACTTCTTATTTAACATATAAATATAATCATATGTTTTAGCGTAAGAACGCCATATGTTATCCATCAGACTGTGAATATTGTACTGAGGTGGGGGTAGATGTGTTACGGTAGTCCTTCGAAAGCTTCGTTTAACATTTCACAAACATAGGCAATGTGTAGTACAATACCTGAACACATTTACTTGTTCAACGGCCTGGTAAGATCTAGGCTTCCTTTATTGAGTTGTCCGTGGCCTGTGGAGCGTTATTATCAAACTAGTGGAGTGTTTATTGAATTATGTAAGGTCTCAGTTTATGCCTGTGCTACGGAAACAGGCATGCAATGCATTAAAAGTATTTGTTATTCTGTACGGGAGATCGGGCAAAACAACAAGAATCAATAGCATATCGAACTCATTCTAAAGAAGCTGCTTGCTTAAGTCGATTGACGCATATTACATACTCACGCAAAGTACCTTAACAGTGGACAACTTTCAGTAACTTGTATTCTGGATCTGTTCTGGTAAATGGAACTTTAAATTGACTGATGATTTATGAAAACAACTTCGCCATGTACAGGGGCTGTTGACAAGGCATGTGAACATTGTTTGCTTGTGTTTTGGTTAACATGTCTGAAGGACACCTGCTAAAAGTTGACACTCACCTTTGAAGACTGACGGTAGTCGAGAACTTGTTACAGCAAAACTTCCCATTGTTAACATCTGTATCTTGTCAAGTATATCGCGTGTAAACTCCACCAAATGTCTGAAGCATTTTCACAAACCGCAAGGTTCCAAAGACGCAAAAGCAGCGACCTGTCATGCGTCACTGATCGAAGCAATCGAAAGCAGGCTTCACAGGGAATCGGATTGGTTGTCAATTGCAGATCGAATCCTTTCAAAGCAAACAATGAGCGGCGCGGCGTTCAGGACTAGTGAGGAGAAATAGTAGGGTCAGCTCTGAAAGGACCATGAACAATGGTAGAAAGAAAATCTGTCCATAACACACCCGGTCCTTGTACCATGCAGTCGTTATACTTGCTAGCAGTCACACACCGTGTCCCTATCGACTTGCTCGTCATTCCTATATATTATTAACAGGCATATGGGAGCCTCGTGTGGGCGTGCTCGATTCTGAGAGCGCTTTATTATATAACGGTATTAAAGGTATAAACACTGGATTATTAGATTAAGGTCTACCTGGTGGTTGGGTTATAGTCAGGTGAATAAAAAGTACAAATACGTGGCGGCGGATTAGTAGAGTTTTATTTCTTTAATAGGGTCAAGACAGGGTTGATGTATTTCAACCCCTTTATTCTCGGTGTTTGTTGAATTGTGGACATCGCTGGGTCAGATTAGACTTCTTTCATACGTTTGTTTATAAAATGTCATTTAAAGATAGATAAATGGTTCACGGTAAAAACCGTGATAGCTCCGGAACACTGATATGTGACACAGAAAGAATGTATATAATATATATACTGCTGAATGTAACGTATGTCTTACTTGTTGTTAGTCTTTATCAGTAGTGTACATAATTTAATACTCGATGCACTTAATTACCAGCACACAAAGTCAGCGATCTAAGCAACTCAGCCACAAAAATGGAAGTCTAGCAAATGGTATTCTTGATCAGTAGTTTGTGTACCTCTCTGACGAGTAAATTGGCAAGGCTCCCACGGACAAAAGCCATGACTATACAAAGCCATTTAGAAAGTGGTCAAATGTTATATTTGGTATGACACTTTCTCAGTAAACTCTGAGAGTGTTGGTTCGAAGCCCAGATAGGGCTCAACCCCCCAGACTCTGAGTACCTTACAGAGAAATGGTAATTCCATATATAACATGTGTTACATCTGACCACTTTCTATTTGATATTATGTGTTAACCTCTGAATGTATTTGTCAAGGCCTATTGTAAATATACACGAGTACCCCTTGGGTGGCCCAGGGGAGAGACATGGTATAAGCTGCTTATGTTCGCAGTGTTATTTGGCTTTGCTCTCACTGAAGAAAATACTGGTGATAATAGCATAACTGTTGACAACACGACACGGCATGGGAGGCCACAACACGACAAGTCACAACGCAGCATGACAGGCAAACACATGAAACATGACATGCTACAATACGACAGTATGACATGGCATAACACGACATCGCATGACAGGCCACAGCACGACATAGCATGACAGGCAACCACATGACAACATGACATGCTACAATACGACAGTAGTGACATGTCATAACACGACATAGCATGACAGGCCACAACACAAGACAGAATGACAAGTCACAACACGTCATAGCATGACAGGCAACCACATGACAACATGACATGCCATAACACGACATAGCATGACAGGCCACAACACAAGACAGAATGACAAGTCACAACACGTCATCGCATGACAGGCAACCACATGACAACATGACATGCCATAACAAGACATAGCATGACAGGCCACAACGCGAGACAGCAATTAGGCGACAACACGACATAGCATGACAAGTTGCAACACTACATAGCATGGCAACCACATGACAACATGACACGCCAGAACACGACACAGCATGACAGACCATGTGACAGGGTACAGAAGTGCGGAACATGACATGTCGCTGCATGACAAGCCACAACAGGAAGCTTGATAGATCCCAGCACGACATAGCATGACAGTTCACAACACGACACAACGTGACAGACCACAGCACATGGCGGACATGACGCTTCATGACTAGCAACAACCCGACAACATGACAGGTTACAATATGGCAGGCTATTACACGACACACAGGCGCCAGCACGGCAGCATGACAGGCTACAACACGCAAGTCACTTTAAACACCATGACAAGCCGGAAGACACATCATGACAGACCACGACGTGAAATGACAGGAAACGTCACAACATATCCACTGTATCAGTGGGTGAAAGCCCATATAACAGCATCTCCATGTTTGGCGAGAGTATAGGCTAATGTGTACGCGTTGATACTGTATTCACCCGGAATATTGCTACAAGAGTTGTACAACCAGGCTCGGTCACTAAAAAAACCCAAACTCACCCATATACGACTGCATGAAGGTCTCAAGCTTGAACATGTGTTTATAGAGGTATAGAAGAATTTATTTCGGTATATAGGCCATTGGCCGTGTAAAATAAATTCAAAGTGGTATATGATATATAGACAATATGGTTTAAACATATACATAGGTATATATATACATGTCTATTCTAACATTGGATAGAATTTCCTGTTTATAGAGGTGCCAGATTGTGAGAGACAAGTGAACAGTCGCCAGGAGGTCCGAATCAGCAATGTTCCAGCTATATCAATACTAGACTACGACTAGTCTCTGAAATGAACATATTTTACAGAAACAACAGTTCATAATAAAAAAAATATAATGAAAAGGAGCCTGAGATTTTCTTCATTTTCAGAAACTGTGGAAATCTAGACTTGCCACATATTCTAGACTTGCATGGGCTTTCTTGGATATATTTGTTTCAGCATCTGTATGACAGACTATATCAATACTAACCCGTGGTTGGTATTATGAGCGACCCTGCCGAGGTATGGTGGCACGCCCTCAACCAGGTCACCGACCCGCCAAACCGATTCAGCCTAGTCATTATTTACACATACTTGAAAACTGGGGAGCTTTTCTCACCCGGTGTATAACTACTCACAGTTCCCGCAATTACTCCCTAGGGCATTATGTCCCAGCTCAGAATGTCCTACCCGGACATATATTCTCGATGCATGTTACAACTAGGACTACAGCACAGAAAGTCGAACAAACAGCTACGATTGCGGTGTATACAAAACCTGGTCCCAAGGGGTCAGATCGAGTCAATTAGTTCCGAGAAACGACTGACCTTGTACGTCTTGTAGAGCATGAACTGAATAACGTATTCCTGAACAAAGCGCCATGCAGGTGTCTATTGACAAAAACATTCCCGGGGCCCTTTACTGAATGGCGTGTGAAGGAATGAAAATAAATTGAATGCGGAGTGGGTTTGTGAGTCTAGTTTTACGCCGCTTTTAGCAATATTCCAGCATTATCACGGCGGGGTCACCAGGAATGGGATTCACGCATTGTACCCATGTGGGGAATCGAACCCGGGTCTTTGGCGTGACGAGCGAACACTTTTAAATAACCACTTGGCTACCACACCGAAGACCCGGGTCCCTATGAAGCTTTTCGGTGATAAATGCGGAAAATTCGAAGTTTTCTAATTATAAAACATTACATGATGAATGAGTGAGCTAAAAGCGGATTTTAGTTAGTGAGGCGGTGTGAATAAGACAATGCAATAAAAACTGATTGATAAAAGCGTCTTCAGACTCTATACTGTTTGTCTAAAATAACCCTTTTGTATCTCCATTTGTCATTCAACCACACCCTGCGATCTGAGAGGAACTAGTGACTGTTAATAATCGAGTCTGGAATAAGCATCCTGTGATTCACATCATGAGCATCGATCTATGCAATCCGGATATATTGACATGCGTCAGCTAAGTCAGCGAGTCTGACCACCCGGCCAAGTTAGGCGCCTCTTACAAGCACGTGTTGCTAAAGATCGGGGTGCCGTTGTACAAAGCGATCTTAGCGCTAATGTGACCGTAACTCCCATACCTTAACATAGACTTAAGGTAGTCTTAGCGCTAAGGTGACCGTAACTCCCATACCTTAACATAGACTTAAGGTAGTCTTAGAGCTAAGGTGACCATAACTCCCATACCTTAACATAGACTTAAGGTAGTCTTAGAGCTAAGGTGACCATAACTCCCATACCTTAACATAGACTTAAGGTAGTCTTAGAGCTAAGGGCTAAGGTGACCATAACTCCCATACCTTAACATAGACTTAAGGTAGTCTTAGCGCTAAGGTTGTTTTGAACAACGGCACCCCGTTCTTACCCGGATATTCACGGGTCTTCCACTTTGATTAAACGCCCCGGCACCGACAAGGTGTCAGCCAGAAATATAATCGGGGCGAAACGGGATTCAAACAACCATATAGGTTCTGGTTATAACAAGAGAATCAACTCCACACAGCTCTTAGACCACTGCAACAGCCGTGCCTCCTGCAAATCACTGTTATCGCTGCATGCCAGCACGATCTTATCGCTAAAACTTATACAGGTCTTACACTGTGCGAAATAGCCACCGGTTCGCTAGCCCGTGGCTAGTAAAAATCCAGTCGGGCCAGTAAATCTCCACAGTCACTGGCCCGACTGCATGGCTAGTGAATTTTCATGGGGTCATTTTGTAAATATATCAATCTCTCCGACTTGTTAAGTTATAACACACTTTTAAATCATGCAAAATTATGGCCTGATAAAAATGTTCATCATATTAGTAGCGTAATGATGAAACACATGTCGACGTTCAAATTTCGGACTAAATTATTTCGTGGACTAGTAACTTTCAGGCATGGGAAGCCCGACTGGCTAGCAAAATTTGGAAACCATTTCGCACACTGATCTTATATACTAATCAATCATTTAAACAGAACCCTTTCTGATTTTGATAAACCCAGGAATCTGCTATTCAAATCCTAGACCATCGGATCAAGGGTCGCAACTCTGGACATCAAACCGCCTTCGACCCAAGAACAAGCTCCGTTGCACCCGATCAAATTAAAGTGATACACATTTAATGAATAAATAAAACGAACAAGTTGCTGTATTGATTACATACATCTGATACGGGAACATGCAATCGATTTAATTACAACTATAGTTTGTTTCATACATCCAGCTCGAATCTGATACATTATTCGCCTTGGTCGGCTTTGATGATCAGGATTAGCACTTCCGGAAATTGTGTGTGACATGCCAGTATCAGAATCCATTCACCCTCAATACAGGGTAATATGATGATTATGAATATACACAGTTTAGTTTCTTGGGATCGCGTGAAGATCTGGGTGAGAATTGGTTGACAACAACCCATGCTTGTCGTAAGAGGCGGCTGACGTTAACAGGATCGGGTGGTCAGGGTCGCTGACTGGGTTGACACATGTCATCGAATCCCAATTGCGTAGATCGATGCACATATTGTTGATCACTGGAATGTCTGGTCCAGACTCGATTATTTACAGACCGACGCCATACAGCTGAAATTTTCACAACAATCAAGCAATTGTTTCTTGGGTGGGTTGCGCATGCGCCCACTAAGGATCAAGGGTAGCTAAGATACGTAGCGTTCACTAACAGCATTCACCGTTTATCTTAGCTAGATCAAGGGCAGACTACCGACGGAACCAAACCGAACTATCCTGTGAGGCAGTCAGTTTTCTTCTTAATTAAATTCAGGTGGTCGCATCCCTCGTATATCCTCCATTATACGTAATAAATTCCCTGTACCCATTCACACTGTAGCTGACAGTAATTAAGCGGGCAACTGAAATCACACTTAGCGACCGTTCATAATTTATGGCTAGGGGGGTGATGATAATTTTAAGAGTGTCCACCAATTTTGTTCTGGGGAGCTAGGGGGTTCAGCAATTTTGTACATAAAAATATGGTTAAAATTATGCTTAGAAATTATGGGAAGGGAGGGGGTCATTGATTTTGTACATGATGTGGAGGGGGGGGCACTTATATTTGTACATAAATTTTAGGGGGGAGTCATTCACATTGTACATATGCTTCTAAAAAAAATCATCATCACACCCCCCTAGCCATAAGTTATGAACGGTCCCTTACGAGAAATTCTGTGAACGGTTACTGACAATGATGGCCACGTCACCTCAGCAAAGAAGATGTGTTTCAGCTTAAAGCGGAACGAAAGACCGAAGCGCTGAAGGTCTCAGGCGGGTTTACCGATATGATGAAACCATCTAGAGTATGGAGCTTAGAAACCCAAGACATAATCCATGCGAACAAGCGTTGAAACTCACAATCATGGGTTCCTGGTGTTCCCAAGGGACACAACTCTGCACAGCAAGTGTTTATCGTAACATAATATATGTGTGTATGGTACATTGGATAATCGATGATCAGATATTCAGGGCATCGTGTGATACGGTAATGGAACTGGCGTAGGCCTACATATAGAGTCTCATTTGTGCATGAGACCTTTTGCTATGGGTTCGATTAGGTTCTGATTGGACGTTTGGCAGCACCACGCCTGTGCTGGTGTATTCCAACAATACTGTTGAAATGGGCTAAAAATATAATACTGTTCAAATTCGCTTATAAATATAATACTGCTCATAAGGGCTTATAAATATAATAATGTTCATATGGGCTTATAAATATAATACTGTTCAAATGGGCTTATAAATATAATACTGTTCAAATGGGCTTATAAATATAATACTGTTCAAATGGGCTTATAAATATAATACTGTTCAAATGGGCTTGTAAATATAATACTGTTCAAATGGGCTATAAATATATTACTGTTCAAATTGGCTTATAAATATAATACTGCTCATAAGGGCTTATAAATATAATAATGTTCATATGGGTTTTAAATATAATACTGTTCAAATGGGCTTATAAATATAATACTGTTCATATGGGCTTATAAATATAACACTGTTAAAATGGGCTTATAAATATAATTCTGTTCAAATGGGCTTATAAATATAATACTGTTCAAATGGGCTTGTAAATATAATATCGTTAACATGGGCTTATAAATATAAAACTGTTCAAATGAATTTATGAATATAACACCGTTCAAAAAGGCTTTTATATATAATACTGTTCACATGGGCTTATAGATATAATACTGTTCACAGCTACATTAAAGCAAACTCACACACTTCAGTAGAACGTATACAACATCTTTATGTATGACATGTCACGAATACGTGTTTAAATGGATCGGGTTGTCCGCCTCGCTGACTTGTTTGATACACTCATAGTTTATAATATTCGCGGTGATTTGTCCGATCCGAACTAGAAGCAGGCTGGAATCAAGAAGCAGGTTTGCGGATTCACTGAAGTCGCTGCCATTTGAAGTCTGGTGGATTGCTCCTAAAGGTGAGGTAAATGCCGAGCGCCAGGCAGGGACCAACAAGTACCAAATTTTAACGTCTTTTGGTATGACGCGGCCGGGGATCGAACCCGCGACCTTCCGCACTCCGGCCGGACGCTGTAACCACTACACCACGGAGGCGGGTGGATTGCTCCTAAAGGGGTGGACATATCGCTTGAGCTTAAGGAATAAACCTAAACTGGTGCTACCGTGTTGGGACATATCACTGGGCTGTGGATAACACGTCTCCCCGTAATAGAAACAAGGAGTGAGTGAGTGAGTGAGTGAGTGAGTGAGTGAGTGAGTGAGTGAGTGAGTGAGTGAGTGAGTGAGTGAGGAGTGAGTGAGTGAGTTGCTATATGGTGGCGGTTTGTAAATAATCGAGTCTGACCAGGCAATACAGCGATCAACAGCATGAGCATCGATCTACGCACTTGGGATACAATGACATGTGTCAACGTCAGCGAGCCTGACCTACTGAAGATCAGTTCTAACCCGGATCTTCTTCCGGTGTCAGCTAAGAATAAAGGAAGAGCGGTAAGGTAGCCTCGTGGTTAAAACCGGGTACAGTGTGCGAATCATTTCGTCGAGAGGCATTACTGGAATATTTGCTAGAAGAGAGAGCGAGAGAGAGAGAGAGAGAGAGAGAGAGAGAGAGAGAGAGAGAGAGAGAGAGAGAGAGAGAGAGAGAGAGAGAGAGAGAGAGAGAGAGAGAGAGAGAGAGAGATGGATCATGGAAGAGAGAGAGAAAACATACATTTCAGGCTTTTAACTTGAAGTAGTAGTATTCAATTGAAAATGATATTGTAATATAGATTTGGCTTATCTGTCAAAGAGTTTTGGGTTGGGTACCTTTGTGTCACTGACAAGCTGCTGTACACGCAACAGGCAGTACCTGCACTCCTGTGAATATTCAGTTTCCGGTTTACATTTTGAGGCAGTCTGTATTAAAAGTATTCACCAAGAATATTATTTTTGTCTTAACATCGACTGTTACTTTTCATCCTACCGGGTACCCATTCACTGTTAAATAACATGACGTGCTTATAACTTATATCTCCAACACCAACGTTATTGACGCCATGAGTTAGCAATTGTACAGTATCACTCATATCAACCGTGAATAAAACGTAATGTTAATATGCCACATGTGACGTCACAAAGACAGATGTAATGTTATAATGATTCCTATGGACAACACCGTTTTGCAGACAGATACTTGCTTCGAAAATGATATAGACTTTGGCTTTAGTGCTGAAAATAATGTAAAAGAAGGAATAAAAAAATATTGTAAATACATTAAATAATACATGGGAAATCGAGTTTCGAACCGGCAGAAACGCTATGTAGAATTTGAAGCCTGCCGTAATCAATCTGAGTTACCTCCCCTCGATTACTCTCCTGATACATCCGGTCAGTATATATTCTGATTAGAGTGCGAAAATCGAGGCGAAAGGGGTAATATAACGTCCTTTTCGGCTTTGAATAATTTGCAGTTTTCATGAAATTATACCTGAAATACTGTTGCTTCAAAATTTCCTAAAACAAAGGGCTATTATACCTGCAGACATTTTCACAAATTGTTCCCGCCATAGCCGAAGCCGAGTGTGTCTGACGGGGCAAAACTAAACCAGCGCATTCGTTCCAACATCTGTAGCTGGTTGGTGTTATCAGTTTTATCAGAAGGCAGGAGCCATTTTGTATACACTTATCAATTAGCCCTGTCAACTCCAGAAATGTCATTCTGTAACTGTATTAACTGGTGGGTCCTGTTCTGGGTCTTTGTTGACATCAAGAAAAATGTGTATGAATAGATCGGGAGATGGATGTGTCAACGCGTAGATATGATCGACAGGGGAACTAGCTTGGAATTATCACGTTACAATAAGTTCACAAAGAGGCGAAGGATAGGTTGAGTTCAAACTACTTTAGTTGGTTGCACAAGCCAGGACAAACATCAGTAATAGTATACATGAATGAGGTTAGTGGAGTTCGGCTCAATACCAGGGCGCTTCCCTCTTCAGGGATTATCCTGCTCGTGAAGTGCGTCCTTAACAGACAGTCGGATACGGACTCCTTGACAATATGGATGTGAGCATATATATACAGTTTTTGACAACAATGGACAGGCGAGCACACAACAGTGGACAGATAGAGAAACAATAGCACTTCTTTGTAACAGTGGATGTGATGGCAGACGCCTTGCCAAGGGGGATGACCAGTTAAGGTTCTAAATGTCATATTAATGAAAGTGACAAAGTGGTACAGGGTTGCTGACAAAGAAAGCGATGTACAGTGCGGTAGTGATAATGATTAAGTATGCAGATTAAATAATTGCAATTAAGTTTCACATGGTTTCGCTTCTGCATAGTTTTTATCTTTAGGAATATTTGAGCGATGGCTGTCCTGAATTAGAAGCTATAACAGATGAATGTATGGATGGAAATGATTTACAACCTATACACCAAATACTAATAATGGCATTATTTATTGTCCAATGAAGGACATACATAACATTGACACATGCAAATGCACATTTGTGTAGAGGAAGCCGTTGTAAGGGAAAGGTACAGAAATACGGTCTATGCTAAGACATATTACATAACAAAGAAATTGATAACATAAGATACATAGCACTATATTATTCAGGAACAGGATTTTTTTTGTCAGTGATGGCAAACGTAACTGTTGCAATGTCATAATTGTCTTGTGTTTTTAATAAAATAGTTATCTTTTACATCCTTGAACTTACAAACAAAAAGCAAAAATAAATACAGTTGAATATTTTGCAAGCTGATTGTTAGTGAGTTTCATCAGTTCTCTGTGCCTTGAAAATCTTAACTTTCTGTAAAAGTTATGTATGGGCAGTCCATTGGAATGTGACAGATAACAGGCAACACATCACTGATAATGATCTGCCCTCGAATGGCAGAAAGCTAAACCAGTGCTACTGAGGATTGCCATGTAAACATTTTCACACTCTTGATTACGTTGCTGTCTACAAATGAAAGCATAATTGCAGCGAGTTTGAATTTGTGACAATCTTCATTTTTTTAGGTAGTTGCCAAATTCATGTGTGGGACTGAATTCTTTTGCCTCTTCTTCAGTATACAGACCAAATTTGTATATAGATGGAAAGTTTCCACCAATGTTTCAATTATCACTTGGATAAACTGGTGTAAACACCCTTATGGTAGTAAATATAGTAATACTGCAATAGGAATCCTTGTATAGCCAATAATCTTTCCAACATAAACTGTCTTCTCCTTGAAAGTGCAAATATATTTTCCAGTTAAAGTATTGTAGACATTGTATTCATTGTTATTTGTTGACAATATTTCTTTTTAAAGAAATTAATGAAATATTTTCGAGAATTACCGTTTTCCAACTACAGGATGTTTAGTTCTGATAAACATCTACAATATCAATGCCTTGATAAAGTTCCAGGCAAACCCTTTTCCAAGAATGAATGACCAGTCCTCAACCCATGACACTTGACAGCCATCCCAGGGGATTCAGCACAAATTTCAGTATGGCAGGATATATCGTTCATCGTTTAGATAGTTTGTTTTATAAATATGTCACATGTAACATATTTTGAACTGAAAAGATTTGAAATGACATCAGGAGTCCCATCAGCAAAATATAAACGTGAATACAGTATTGTTGTTTGGTTTTATGTTTTACATAACAAATAGCACAATTACAAAGACAAAACCATCTACCCATTCATGATTTATATACTTGTATTAACTTTCCCTCATAAATATCAAATTTCAGAAATAAAACATAACTATCTGGACTGTAAATGTGTTGGATTATCTTTAGGATTTGCATCTCTATGTATAGATATGAACAATGACAATTTCCCAAATCTGTAAGGCAAGAAAGACTAATATCTAAGATGAATTAGATAACATATTTATTGCATAGCAGTCAATGAAGGAACAGTGGCAATATCCTGTATAAACTACAAATATAATATATAGTTACATTATATTTGTAAAAAAATTAGGTATTTCAGCATGTATATGAATCTGCAGTACTTTTTTAAACCGGTGATTCAAAAGGTATAAATGACAACTAGGAAGAGCCATTAATGGTATATTTCTAAACAGTAATCAGTATTTACTGAAGTGGCAAGTGCACATATACTCCAGACTCCAGACTCCACTCCAAGACTCCACTCTCCAACCCTCCACTCCAAGACTCCACTCCATGTTTTACAGTATGCCGTCTGACGGGCAACGTGAACCGTGATTCATGGATGAATGAAAACATGGTGGCTGTCATCTCGTGAACATTCTGTTCTAAAATTCCTTCCACTGATTAACTAATTCAAGATGGCCGGAAAACCAGCACAGGTGAACACACTACTGCAGTATAGGTTTGTGAAGAAATCAGAGAGCAGGCTTTCACATAGCGGAGAATCGAATTGTTCTGATTCAGCAGAAGAAGAAATCAACAATGGAAACGGAAGAACGGCATCTCAAGAAAGTACGCAAGGTTCGTCGTTTTATTACCTGGGGTTCCATGTTCAGAAATATTGACGAAAAAAACATTTATAACTCGTATCTTGCACATTTTCTCAGATAACTATACAGAATTATAGGCCCCTTGAGTCAATATATTCCCATGATTTCAGTTGGAAAACACACACGCAAGACCAGTACACTGACACGTGGAATATACTAGAACGGTCTAAAGAACTAATTCACTGAATTAAAATGTATAAGTTTGGGAATTAATAGATCTGTGCAAAGACACAAGTGCAATTGTAATATGCAGCATCATAAGGTTCAAGACAACCATGTTGAGGTACTTGCTACCTCGAGTTTCTGTGAATCTCGAATACTCAAACAGTAAGCATGGTAACACCTGCATTGCATGTTTGTAATTATGTTCATGCTTAATTTACATTGTGGTGGCACAGGGCAGAATGTCCTCCAAACACCACTGCTGAATGTGGAACCAAGATGAATTAGGAGATAAACAATGAAACATCATGTGTTGGCCAATTTCCGGGTGTTATTGAGTATTTGAAGCACGGGAATTCATTTGGAACCGACGGAGTCAGACGGAGGTTTCAAATGAAATATTCCTGTGCTTCAAATACTCAATAACACCTGGAAATTGGCCAACACATGATGTTTATCGACATTGTAAACACAAAAGTAAACCAAAAGGTCCACACACGTTTTACTGTCTGCACTCATTGACATCGAGTACGGGTACAGCAGTGAAATGTCATCAGCCGGCCGTTTCGGCTGTCTCCCATGGCATCTGAAACTGCTCATTTGTGACGTCATTCGGATTTTACATCACAATGATTTTAATGAGGTCATCACAGCTGACTACGTAACAATACAATGGTGTGAGCAATGATTGTATGTATTAATACTCAGCGAATTTCCGGGAATCGAATATCATTTGGTCATGTTTTTCAACCAATCAGATTAAAGAACACAGTGACTTTTGGTTTACAATTTTGGTTAGAATTTGTTCCAAGCAGCCTGTGCTGGGGGTAAGATGTAGTAAGAGGCAAACAAGTGGATAGTCTGTAGTAAGAGGCAAACAAGTGGATAGTCTGTAGTAAGAGGCAAACAAGTGGATAGTCTGTCTCAGTGACTTGGTTGCTGTTGGTTGATTGTTAACATGCCCCAACAGAGTGTGATTTTACTATTTACAACCTGCACTAGTGCATGTTACGAATGGCTGGTGCAGGTTACCTTGAGTCACAGGTTGCACCCAGTGCAGGTATCAATAAATCTTAAAGCTGTCATGTGTTTTAATTGGGAAGTAAGTGACTGTGTGAGTAATACGTTTCTCTATGCATGACTTGTTACAAGCATAAACATTTGTGAACTCATAAATCACTTATGTAGAAGTAATCATTTAAATTGAGATTTATAATTAAATGATAATGCAAAATTAAAACAATCATTTATCTCGAAAGAGCCTGGTTCTGTTGAATGTATCTGATGACATTTTATGAAAATTGCTGAACAAATAGTTATGTTTCTTTTTAGAACCAGTGACATTATTTTATAGTGCAACCAAAATTTTGATGGTGCACTGCAGCCAAACCTATAAGCCAGGATGCCCTTGGTGCAGGTACTGAAAAAACAGCGAAATTGCACCCTGCTCACTAGAATGTCTGTCACAAGATGTCACTCACATAGCTAGAATCTTGCTGAGAGGGGCATGGTGAAAATCAGTTCATATAAGAAGTAATTATTTTTTGGTCTGCAGCTGACTACTTTGAGACAACCATAAGTCTAAACAGATTGTATTTTTTCCACTCCACAGAGTATGTGTACAGTCCACCAAGCACAACTACCGTACCAGAGTCTTCTATGGCAGGGTCAAGCTTCCCAAGTAGTCCGACGTCTCCGGTGTTTATGTCAAAGAAAGTGATTCGACCCTTGTCTATTGAATCAGATGAGTCTCAGGATACCGGCGGGACTCCATGGCTGTCCAAACAACAGGGGAAACAGAATCATATCATCAATGGTTCTTCTTGTAAAGACAAACTGAAAAAGTAATTTATGTGTGACTTGCATATAAGACATTCTTTGTGCCAGTGGAAAATTCAATTATTCATGGAAATCCTCAGAAAAAAAACATGTTAGTTTTGATTGATTGCATCGTAATTTTTATATTAAATATTTTTGTTATGCATTCCTGAAATTGCTATTACCACATGTTGGTGGCTGGTGAGCATTGAAACTGTTGTCGAAAACAGTGATTAAATGGATCAACAGATTGTCTAATTTTGATGGAGTCAAATTTATTTTGGTCATTGTGGTCAAGTAGGCTCTGTTGATTTAACATGTGAAATGTTGCGTAGCAGACTTTGATGTAATGGTAAACATTTTGAAATTATGTTCTGATGATGATTTGCCTTACCTGTTAATTCATAATTCTGTCGACCCGTGAAGATCCGGGTTAGGATTGGTCTTCAGCAACCCATTCAGTAACCCATGAGGCGACTAACGGGATCGGGTGGTCAGGCTCACTGACTTGGTTGATACATGTCATCGTGTCCCAATTGCGTAGAACCATGTTCATGCTGTTGATCACTAGATTATCGGGCCCTGGCACAATTATGTACAGACTGCTGCCGTATAGCTGGATTATTGCTGAGTGATGTATTAAACAACAAACCAACAAACCAACAAACCAAATCATAATTCTGTCTCTGAGTTCTGGGTTGAAGTTGCACACAGTACATTAAAAGTATTCATCAAGATGTTCTTTTTGTCTAAACATTGAAGATTACCGTTTTCTTATCCTAAGTTGTCCATTTCAGATTCAGGAGACTTAAACCTATGTCTGACAGCGACTCAGATGATGCTTCCACCGTGTCTAGACAAACTCCAAGGGAGGAATTCACGCGCAGTCGCATTGAGAAGATCAACCACCTGAAGAGCATGTTTCCGATCCGAGCCAGTAGTCAGCTTGGTGATGCAGTGGACCTGTTTGACGGAGATGTTGAACAGATTGTCACCTCACTAATGAGTGGGAAGTTTGACAGGGGTAGGTTGCAGGATGATGTTGCTGTTTTCAGTAGTAATTTGGTTATGTCAGCTATAAGTTATTTAATGTGGGTCAAATATCAATGGCTTATGTTATAGGCAACCGAGGGTGTTGGGGTGTGATAGCCTGCGGGCAGCCATGCCTCTTTCACAAACTGAGGTGGTGGGATAGCCTTGTGGTTAAAGCATTGGTCTGACACGCTGAAGACCCGGGTTCGATTCCCCAAATGGGTACAATGTGTGAAGCCCAATTCTGGTGTCATATTATGTTGGAAACTTTGTATAAGACCTATATTTCTCATGCATGTTTTAAGTAGATGTGAAATGAAGGTTGTCTATAGATATGAAATTAATCCAGGATTTAAACAGTTTAGAAAATGTTCTGAATAATCATGTCAGGTTATGACTGATTTTCTTTCAGAATTGGTTGACAGAAAGCGAAAGCGTGCCTGTGAGGAGAGTTCTCCACCTCTTGATCGTCGCCCTTTTAAGCGTATCCGTATTGTACAGAGTAGTGACAGTGTAGAAACAGTATCTCCAAACAGCTCCCAGTCCACTCAACTTGACTCACAGACACAGGATCAGAGGCTTGGAACTTTATTGGAGGCATTTCCTGACAAGCCTAATGAGGTATGGTGTACTAGTGGTCTCAACCCTGTAGGGAGTTACCCATAAGCCTAATGAGGTATGGTGTACTGGTGGTCTCAGCCCTGTAGGGAGTTACCCATAAGCCTAATGAGGTATGGTGTACTGGTGGTCTCAGCCCTGTAGGGAGTTACCCAAAAGCCTAATGAGGTATGGTGTACTGGTGGTCTCAACCCTGTAGGGAGTTACCCATAAGCCTAATGAGGTATGGTGTACTAGTGGTTTCAACCCTGTAGGGAGTTCCCCATAAGCCTAATGAGGTATGGTGTACTAGTGGTTTCAACCCTGTAGGGAGCTCCCCACAAATCTGATGAGTTATGGTGTATTAGTAGTCTCAACTGTGTTGGGAGTTCCCCACAAGCCTAATGAGGTATTGTGTACTAGTGGTCTCAACCCAGTAGGGAGTTCCCCACAAGCCTAATGAGGTATGGTGTACTGGTGGTCTCAACCCAGTAGGGAGTTCCCCACAGGCCTAATGAGGTATGGTGTACTGGTGGTTTCAACCCAGTAGGGAGTTCAAAGCCCAGTAATGAGGTATGGTGTACTAGTGGTGGTTTCCCAGTACCCAGTAGGGGTGTAGTTCCCCACAAGCCTAATGAGGTATGGTGTACTGGTGGTCTCAGCCCAGTAGGGAGTTCCCACAAGCCTAAGCTAGTGGTTTCAACCCAGTAGGGAGTTCCCCACAAGCCTAATGAGGGTATGGTGTACTGGTGGTCTCAGCTGTGTAGGGAGTTCCCCAAGCCCTAAAGAGGTATGGTGTACTAGTGGTTTCCAGCAGTAGGAGTTCCCACAAGCCTAATGAGGTATGGTGTACTAGTGGTTTCAACCCAGTAGGGAGTTCCCCACAAGCCTAATGAGGTATGGTGTACTAGTGGTTTCAACCCTGTAGGGAGTTCCCCACAAGCCTAATGAGGTATGGTGTACTAGTGGTTTCAACCCAGTAGGGAGTTCCCCACAAGCCTAATGAGGTATGGTGTACTGGTGGTCTCAACCCTGTAGCGAGTTCCCCACAAGCCTAATGAGGTATGGTGTAATGGTGATCTCAACCCTGTAGCGAGTTCCCCACAAGCCTAATGAGGAATGGTGTACTGGTGGTTACAACCCTGTAGGGATTTCCCCATGAGCCAAATGAACGTGACAAATCTAATGAATTAAGGGTTTTCATTGTGCCACTTATATGCTTGAACAAATGTTTTGAGGCATTTTCATTTGCTTGTTGAGTTTAAACTAGATATTTCAATTATTGACATTTGCCATTTTCAACTTTTTAATGCCCATCAAATGCCTGTCATTGTTGAGTCAAACATTGTAAATGACAAAGTACAATCTGTGGATGATTATGTTTGGTGCCTCCTTCATATGTTGATGGATACTTTGGCAGTATAAATGTAGACAGTGATCTTTGTACAGGTGCTGCTGAAAGCCCTAGAGGACCATAACTGGTCTACGGAAGATGCTATGCTGGCATTGTCATCTCGGGTCCAGAATGGGAATGATTCAAAAAGCAAGAAAAAGGAGAAAAAGAAGGGTTTGTTTATCATTGTTTTTTTAAATTTGATCATATTTTGTTTTGGTTTCAAACCACATAACTTTTTTCAAAACAGAGTCTTTGAATCACTTTAGATACTTATCGTAAATATGTTTCTAGTGACAGTAAAGTATCATTGAACGAAGATGTTTTAACCAGCTGACTTCACAAACTTTGTAGACATTTGCATTACAAATAGTTATTAAAATTTCCCTTTCTTCTTCCAAGAAAATGATTTGTTCGCTAGACAAGCCTCATTTTAAAATTCAAGTTATATGAGAAACACTATGTCGATTACAAACATCTTGCCATGTTGGTTGTTTACTGACAAGGGGTGGTGGGGTAGCCTAGTGGTTAAAGCACTGGCTCGTCACGCCGAAGACCCGGGTTCGAATCCCCACATGGGTACAATGTGTGAAGCCCATTTCTGATGTTCCCTGCCGTGATGTTGCTGGAATATTGCTAAAAGCGTCGTAAAACCAAACTCAGTCAGTCAGTCAGTCAGTTTACTGACAAGCTGCATGCTAACATGACATTGACAATTTATCTCAACATCTTTTCCTACAGTATCCAGAAGGGACGAAGATCTGTCAGATGAGGATGATGATTATCTTGATGATGGCTGGGACAGTGATGATAGCATGGTATGTATTCTGTCGTATGTATTCTTATCTTCAATGATCCACTGTGCATTGGATTACTGTGTGGCCCATGTAAAGCCTTACTTGAGACTGATTTCATTCATCAGTTATTCATCGATTAAAATCATGACAGTGTCTTCATACCCTTGACACTTTTACCTTCATAGCTTGGCTTGGAATCCTGCTACCATGATACCCGTGAAGATACGGATTAGAATTGATCCTCAGCGATTCATGCTTGTCGTAAGAGGACCAACTGAATCGGGTCATCAGGCTCGCTGATTTGGTAGATGCATGTCATTGTATCCAAAATCTGTAGATCTATCTGTGCATTCAATCAAATAATTGTTTCATATACATGCAGATATTATGTCAGTTCCTGAAACCCTCGACCCGTGAAGATCTGGGTTAGAATTGGTCTTCAGCAACCCGTCCCTAACGGGATCGGGTTGTCAGACTCGCTGACTTGGTTGACACGTGAAACCCATGTTGCATGCATCACAAGAACACATACGAATGCCTTGGTACACAACTCTCTCTTCTTTATTGCTCACAGACCAAATTCATTTATATGTCGTCAAATTTGATTGAATATATCTAGCACTGGCCTGAAAGCAGTGCTGAACTTGACTTTGAAAGAGGCCTGTTTTGTCATGACTGGCCACATGGACATGACTGCCTCATCATTGCTCCATGTGTCATGCCTGTGTCACGTGTGTCCACTTGGTCAGGTCGGTTGATTTGACCTGATGTCCCATTCTTGTGTCAGCGTTGTCCACTCTGTCGTGTCAGTCAAATGTGACACCAGTGTCCACTGAATCGTGACGGTCCAACTTGACCTCACTGTCGTCCACTTTGACATGACTTCACAATTTGTCATGACTTTACAATATGCCACAACTGTCCACTATGCCACCACTGTCCACTGTGTTACTACTGTCCACTGTGCCACCACTGCCACCACTGTCCACTATGCCACCACTGTCACTACTGTCCACTATGCCACCACTGTCACTATTGTCCACTATGCCACCACTGTCACTATTGTCCACTATGCCACCACTGTCACTACTGTCCACTATGCCACCACTGTCACTACTGTCCACTATGCCACTACTGTCCACTATGCCACCACTGTCACTATTGTCCACTATGCCACCACTGTCACTATTGTCCACTATGCCACCACTGTCACTATTGTCCACTATGCCACCACTGTCACTATTGTCCACTATGCCACCACTGTCACTATTGTCCACTATGCCACCACTGTCACTATTGTCCACTATGCCACCACTGTTACTACTGTCCACTATGCCACCACTGTCACTACTGTCCACTATGCCACCACTGTCACTACTGTCCACTATGCCACCACTGTCACTATTGTCCAATATGCCACCACTGTTACTACTGTCCAATATGCCACCACTGTTACTACTGTCCACTATGCCACCACTGTCCACTATGCCACCACTGTCCACTATGCCACCACTGTCCACTATGCCACCACTGTCCACTATGCCACTGTCCACTATGCCACCACTGTCCACTATGCCACCACTGTCCAATGTCTACTATGCCACAACTGTGTCCACTATGCCACCACTGTCCACTATGCCACCACTGTCCACTATGCCACCACTGTCCACTATGCCACCACTGTCCACTATGCCACCACTGTCCACTATGCCACCACTGTCCACTATGCCACCACTGTCCACTATGCCACCACTGTCCACTATGCCACCACTGTCCACTATGCCACCACTGTCCACTGTGCCACCACTGTCCACTGTGCCCACTGTGCCACCACTGTCCACAACTGTCCACTATGCCACAACTGTCCACTATGCCACAACTGTCCACTATGCCACCACTGTCCACTATGAGTGATTGTCTGCTGCTGTTGCAGGAAGAGGAGGAAGCAATGGGCCAGACAGAGATGATCCTGTCATTCTTCGAGGGCGCCACAGTGGAGGAGCTGATGACCGTACCAGGGTGTTCCCGGAAGAAGGCGGATCTGATTATCACACAACGGCCGTTCAGCAGCTGGGACAATCTGGCAAGTAACATATCAGTTATCTTAAGAGAGGCTTTTTCTCGAATTGGGACATTGGTTGTTGTAAGAGTCAAATAATGATTATATGGTGAGTACAAGGTTTGATCTGGGTATGGATCAGTGCTCATGCTGTCAAACGCTAGTTTTCCAGACTCATTCGTTGTCCAAGAGGTTGTATACAGTTGGATGCAGCACTCATTCAGTGACTCTTGTTGATTAAGGTTATGCTTCGTGAGCCTGCTGGGTTTTTATCCCCCACAACACGTTTTGCGGGGGGGTATTAAAATGGACTCCTTGCATGCGTGCGTGCGTCCGTCCGTCCGTGCACATTTGACTTTTCCAGAGCTGAACTCTAAAACCGTTCAATATTTCTTCACCAAACTTGGCACATACATGGATCTGGTGGTGTACTGGTGCCTTTTGGTAGTTTTGGAATTTTGAATAAAATATTTTGTTTCGGCAACAAGTTTGACTTAGACTGCAACAAGTTTGACTTAGACTCCTTTCTGGAGCAGAACTTTAAAAAACCTTTCAATACTCTCCTTCCACTTTTCTATATACACACTAGGGCTGCAATGAATACACTATGTGGCAGAATATGATACATATCATGAATATTGGAGTATACACCTAATACAAATAATTATTCATAGACATAATACAATATTGTAGTTAAGTGATTGATGTACAATATGGAGCGGCCATGTTGACAGTGTTAATTTGTCACAGCAATAACCAGTGATCTCATGACACTCAAATTTGGTATGTAATAGTTACAATTGACAGTACCTAAAGTCACGGCCATGACTTGCACTGTTGTTTTCTGCAATACTAGTACATGACTCTGTTTCTGGTGAATATTTTTAAAATTTGTACTTGACAGTACACGGTTGTTAAGTCAGAGTTTTGGATTAATTTGATTTCACAAGCAGGGTTTAACTGTAAGAGTGAGTGAATGAGTGTGTTTTGTTTTAAACTGCTTTTAGCAATATTCCAGCGATATCGTGGTGGGGGACACCAGAAATGGGCTTCACACATTGTACCCGGGAATCGATCCCGGGTCTTTGGCGTGAGGAGCGAATGCTTTAACCACAGACTACCCCACCACCCCCTTAACTGTAAGAAAAAGAAGGTTTTTGTGATGGAATTTCAACATGTTACACCCCATATGAGTGTGGACAATGTAACACAATGCAGGCAATAATGAAAAGGGAATATTTCACCTGTAGGTGCAGAAGTTCGAGTCCACAAAGTCGCTGTCGTACAACCTGATCAGTGGCTGCAAGGAGACCATCCATGTCCGAGCAATTGTCACCAAACTGATGAAGAGATGTGAGAAGATTGCAGAGGAGATGGAGTCTGTTGTGTCCAGCTTGACCGATCCCTCAGCATCAGGGACAGAGACGGACAGAATCACCAGGCAGCCCGACCTTCTCAGTAAAACGTAAGGCTTTGGATGATGCACTTCTGTCAGCTATAATACATTATTGTTTGTTTTTTTCTGACGCAAAACTGATATTTGAAAATGTAAATATTCAGCTGGGAATAATCTTTGGTTTAAGTGAGCTTGGGGATGGGTTGTCTCATTGTCTGAAACTTTGTACAGAGTTGTATCTCTTGAATATGCCAGGATCCCATGATTTTAGGTTTGAATCATGGTTTACCCAGCCTAAGTTTATATCATTGCAGAACCATGCACTCCATTCATGTGTAAATTGTCTGAAACCTTTAAGACATCATTTTTCCTCCAACCAAAAAGCTCAGTGGCTGCGATGTAACTGAATGCAGTTGAATTCAGTTTCTATCTTAACTCATTCGCTCCACGTGGACTGAGCAGCTATTTTGTCTGTGGTGCAGGATATTGCTTGGCACATTTACATATGTGTGTTCTGTTGGTAAAGGTCTGAAGCCATGATTAAGATAGGATTAGTTAGCACTATGCTATGCAAGTTAGTTTCACTAAATGTAACTGTCAACAATGTGTGTCTTTTGTTCGCTTATTGATAATGGGGAATAACCTCACTGTTGGCCTTATTGATAATGGGGAATAACCTCTCCCTTGGCCTTATTGATAATGGGGAATAACCTCACTGTTGGCCTTATTGATAATGGGGTATAACCTTGCTGTTGGTCTTATTGACACGGGGAATAACCTTTGCTGTTGGCCATATCACTGTTGGCCTTATTGATAATGGGGAATACCCTCACTGTTGACCTTATTGATAATGGGGAATACCCTCACTGTTGACCTTATTGATAATGGGGAATAACCTCACTGTTGACCTTATTGATAATGGGGAATAACCTTGCTGTTGACCTTATTGATAATGGGGAATAACCTCGCTGTTGACCTTATTGATAATGGGGAATACCCTTGCTGTTGACCTTATTGATAATGGGGAATAACCTCTGTTGGCTGTTGGCCTTATTATTGATAATAGGGAATAACCTTGCTGTTGGCCATATTCACAAGGGGAATACCCTGTTGCTTATTGATTGAATACCTTGTTGATTGATAATGGGGAATACCCTCACTGTTGACCTTATTGATAATGGGGAATACCCTCATTGTTGACCTTATTGATAATAGGGAATAACCTTGCTGTTGGCCATATTCACAAGGGGAATACCCTCACTGTTGACCTTATTAATAATGGGGAATACCCTCACTGTTGACCTTATTGATAATGGGGAAACCTTGCAGGGGCCTTGCTGTTAATGGGATAATGGGGAATACACTTGCTGTTGAATACCTTATTGATAATGGGGAATAACCTTGCTGTTGGCCTTATTGATAAGGGGTATAACCTGCTGTTGGTCTTTGATTGAGGGAATAACAGGGGAATAACCTTGCTGTTGACCTTATTGATAATGGGGAATAACCTTGCTGTTGGCCTTATTGATAATGGGGAATAACCTTGCTGTTGGCCTTATTGATAATGGGGAATAACCTTGCTGTTGACCTTATTGATAATGGGGAATAACCTTGCTGTTGGCCTTATTAATAATGGGGAATAACCTCACCTTATTGATAATGGGTAATAACCTTGCTGTTGATTATTGATAATGGGGAATAACCTCTCCTAGCTGTTGGCCTTATTGATTGGGTATACCAAACTGGGTAGCTTATTAAATAATGGGGAATAATAACCTTGCTGTTGGCCTTATTAAACCTAATGGGTAACCTCTCTTGGCCTAATTAACCTTGCTGTTGGCCTTATTGATAATGGGGAATGACCTCTAGATGCTCATGCTGTTGATCACTGGATTGTCTGGTCCATACTCAATGCGCCATATATATAGCTGGAATATTGCTGAGTCTTGGCGATGGAAATATACCTTGAAGTAAAATTAAACTCACTCACATCTAGAACCAGCAAGATGGAAATATACCTTGATGTAACAAAGTTTCTTATGTGGAAAGGTTTGAGATCAAAATGCTCTATGATGTGTTTACAGGTTTGAACTGAAGCCATATCAGATGATTGGACTGAACTGGCTGCGTATCATGCACTCTCAAGAGCTAAATGGCATCCTTGCTGATGAAATGGTGAGAGTATACCCTCTGCGACATTTCGTTCAGTTCACCTTGTCTTTTCTAATACATTTTATGAACCATTTGTTCTTGTTTTAGTTCATGCTTAATAACGGTGTGAAAACCTACATGTTTCTGCTGTTTAGGTGATGAATCTGATCCATAAAGTGTTGTCATCAGGCAGATATTGATTATCGCAGAGTTCATATAAATTTGACAAATGCACTCACTCACTCACTTTCAGGAATAGTACAAAAAGTCTTTTGTGTAAACTGTATAGCAAATGCATTTAAATATCAGGTGAAGATCAGGTGCAGTTATTCTGATTTCAACAGGTAACAGGCATGTGATACATTGTGTTTGTATTTGCAGGGTTTAGGGAAGACAATTCAGGCAATTGCCTTCCTCACCCATCTCATAGAGCAAGGTGACACCGGACCACATGTCATCATCGTACCTTCATCAACAATAGGTGAGATACAGATGGTAGTCCACACAGGTTTAATGTAAACACAGCTATTTACTCTCTTGATGTAGAGCTGGCAATGTCATTCAAGGCACAGTCACATTTCTGTTGCAGGAATCCCTTAGTTGAATCTTAGATGCGCTGTGATTATTATTCTTGGTCTGTCACTGTTGGGGGGCGGGTTCGATTACGCACATGGATACAATGTGTGACGCCCATTGTTGGTGTCCCCTGCAATGATATTGTTGGAATATTGCTAAAGTCTGTAAAATGGCACTCTATAACATCGGAAACATCAGCCAAGTAAGAAGATTCCTGAATGTAAAGACTGCTGCCACTCTAGTCCAGTCTTGTGTGTTGTCGCACCTGGATTACTGCAATGCATTGCTGTACGGTATCCTGAAACACCTTATCAACAAGCTTCAGCGATGTCAAAATGCAGCCGCCAGACTGGTGACCAAGACAAGAAAGGACCAGCATATTAGTCCAGTCCTAAGGAACTTACACTGGCTCAAGGTCGCAGAGAGAATCAAGTACAAGATTCTGGTACTAGTGTTCAAGGCGGCGCAAGGACTGGCACCACCCTATCTACAAGACCTCATTATCGAAGTATGAGCCACCTAGGGCCCTGAGATCACGAGGACAACACCTTCTTTGTGTTCCAACACGTAGCAAAACACGCTTTGGCGACCACAGCTTCTCCAGAGCAGCCCCTGTTCTCGAACAGCCTTCCACAAGAGATCAGATCTACCACAGAACTGACATCGTCAGCTCATTTCCATTCATTGCTTAACAAGCTCAATTCAGGTTATTGGGTAAATAACAAGTGTGAAAAAAAATCTGGAAAAGAACAACAAAAGATTCACAAAGTGTCAACACAGATTCCTGACCTCGCATTAATTTCGGTGGACGCATTTTAAACTAGACCCTCGCAAGCTAATCAGCATTAAATTTGTGACGCATTAATTTCATGATTTTTGTGGCGCATTAATTTCATGATTTTCAGTAGTTATTATTAAAAGCTGTGTAAAACTAAACTCACTCACTGTCACTGTTGGGCTTATCTCCCATATTGAGATGCCATGTTGAATGTTACTTTGAGTCCTGGTTTGTCCAGACTATGTTTATAGAGTTGACAACACCTTACCATTGCTTGTGAACTTCTTCACAGTGGTAAACATCTAAGAGCAGCACTACTTTGGGCTTATCACTACTGGAGATTTGTTAGAAATGGTTTTCTGCAACCCATGCTTGTCGTAAGAAGTCACTCACTGGAAAGGGTGGTCAGGCTCACTGACTTGGTAACACATGTCATAGTATTTCAATTGCGTAGATCCATGCTCATGATGTTGATCATTGGATTGTGTGGTCCAGACCCGATTATTTACAGACCGCTGCCATTATAGCTGGAATATTGATGAGTGCAGTGTTAAACAACAAACAAACAAAACAAACTTTAGGCTTGTCCCCACATTAAGCTGTGATATAACTGAAATACTGTTAAAAGATGTATTAATCCCCACTCACTGACTCACGAGAAGAGAATATTCAAAAGAAATGGATCCTTAGTCCAGATTAGTCGTTCATGTGCTATTTTTCAACACTATGACTTCTTGTTTAACAATAATGACACATTTAGTTGCCATATAATTGTGATCCAAACTGGAATTCTCATCACATTATAGTTGCTCGCACTGTCTGCTGTAGCTTTGACCCATGAAGATCTGGGTTAGAATTGATCTTCAGTAACTCATGCTTGTTGTAAAAGGCGACTAACAGGATTGGGTGGTCAGACTCACTGACTTGGTTGACACGTGTTATTGTATCCCTATTGCGTAGATCGATGCTCATGCTGTTGATCACTGGATTGTCTGGTCCAGTCTCGACTATTTACAGACCGCCGCCATAAAGCTGGAATATTGCTGAGTCGGCACGAGGCAGACTAAACTCATTCACTCACTGCTGTAGCCTGGGTGTGTTTAGTGTAAATTCTTTGCTGAAACAAAGCAGACTCCTCACACAAGTGGTGTTTCAGATAACTGGTTACGGGAGGCCAGGAACTGGTGCCCATCGATGAAGGTGATCATGTACTATGGCAGTCAGGATGAACGTCGAGTTGTCCGCCATCGGATCCTCATGGATGGAAAGAGAAACTTCAATGTTTTACTCACTACGTAAGTACACATGTCATCGGTTCCCAAAAGCATAGATTGATGCTCATGCTGTTGATCACAGGATTGTCTGGTCCAGACCCGATTATTTACAGACCGCTGCCATAAAGCTGGAATATTGCTGAGGGCGGCATTATGCAACAACCACCCAACCAACTACTACGTTAGTCGTGTACACTTGCAACAGTATTTTGATAGTTTCCAAGATTACTATGGTAGTGATTGCAATAGAAGTAATCAAACTTTAAGGTTTGAACAAATATTGAGAATTCAGTTAGTTACATAATAGAAATGTGACTAAAGTTTTGCTGAGAATGTCAATATCAGACATTTTACTCTTTAACCAAAGGGGAGTAACTCTAATCTGAAGTCCTTGCAAACCAACACACAGAAGGTTTGAAACATCCATAATTGATGTATTATTTATAACTGTTTCAAACTATTAGAACTATGAATTCTCTTGCATGCTGACAGCAGTACTTTTGGCATTTGTGAAGCCCATTTCTGGTGTCCCCCACCGTGATATTGCTGGAATATTGCTCACTCACTTTTGGCATTTTTTACCTCTGTCAATATACTTTTGTTGGGAGACAGTTGCATCAAATTGATATTTTCGATAATTTGCATGTGATGATGTATGCATAGTTTGTGATATACATTGTATGTAACAATTATGTGTAGGGCTGGCTAGAAAGATAAATAATCAGAAATATCGTTGGTATGGAAGCCTATTAATGACATGAAAATGGTGTCATTGATAACAACATTCAGAATCTTTTGTGATAGAATAAAGGTTTAATTTACTCATGCAATACACAAAGTCCTACTTGTTAATTATGTTCATGATGCTTTTTTGTTAGAAGTCCATACATAAACATGTCACCACTCACATGTGATTTATATTCATTTCTTCCTGACTTTTTTGGCATTTTTGCTCAAAGTACCTCGTCTGATATTTGTCAATACTCGATCAATATTTAGTTAACAATTATTGATCTTTATGATCTATATTGATAGGTGAGGTGAGGTGAAATTGGGTTTAACGTCGTGCTTGAGATTATTTCGCTCATATGACGAAGTGCATGAGCGTGTATGTGTATGTGCGGCTGCTTGTACTAGCCCAGACTTAAGCTGGTTTTATAGTGCTAGCCCACTGAGATACCATACCGCAGTGAGTATGAATACCCCACTCAGACACATTATACTGACTCCGAGCCGACCAGTCCTTGTTGTACCCATTAATGCCGAGCGCCAGGCAGGGACCAACAAGTACTATATTTTAACGTCTTTTGGTATGACGCGGTCGGGATCGAACCCGCGACCTTCTGCTCTCCGGGCGGACGCTCTAACCACTACACCACAGAGGCGGTCTCTATATTGATAACCAGTATCAGAGTGTAATATTGTTTCTAAAGGTACACAATAGCTACAGGGTCCGTGGAAGACCGGTCACTCTTCAAGAAATGTGCCTTCCACTACGCTGTGTTTGATGAGGGGCACATGCTGAAAAACATGGCATCTCTGCGCTTTCAGAATCTGATGAAGATTAGGGTATGTATAACGCTGACAATGACCTTTGATTAGAATATCCTCATCCTGGACCAACCCAATTGCCAGGATCAATACAGACAGCAACTACCAGATCTAATTTATTTGTCATTTTTTCAATCAATCAAGCTGTGTTCTTGTGATTTGATTCGTTGATGCCAGGACTTGATTTGACTGTGTGTAAGATGCACCAGGGCAGCATATTGGAGAAGTGCAAGCTAATATTTATGACTATATGCACTATATATTGTCAGATGTGTTTGGCTAATCCTTACCTTCACACAATGGCTTCTCACTCTCAGTAACTCTAAGCTTATGTGACCCGTGAAGATCTGGGTAGAATAGGTCTTCAGCAACCCATGCTTGCAACAAAAGACAACTATATAGCTGGAGTATTGCTGAGTCGCTCAGTCGGCGTAAAACTAAACTCACTCACTCTCACTCACTCACTCTAAGCTTATGTGCTAGTCTTAATCATAATGTGACACTGAAATCTAAGAAATTTCTCCGTTCATATTCATGTAAACTTGTACCTCTAAGCATAGTACTACAGCTAAGATTACTTGACGGGACTTTTAGTGACTTGAGAATTGTCTGAAATGGCTCATGTTCACAGACAGCGATATGCCACCTGAAAACCCTTGAATATACAGCAAGATAATTAATCTTTTCCGCTCTGGAATTGGTCTTCAGCAACCTGTGCTTGTCGTAAGAGGCAACTAACAGGATCGGGTGGTCAGGCTTGCTGACTTGGTTGTCATGTCATCGTATCCCAATTGCATAGATTGATGCTCATGATATTGATCACTTGATTGTCTGGTCCAGCTGGAGTATTGCTGCGTGCGATGTTAAACAAAAAACGAAAAAATCATTTAATTTTCCATCAAGGTACTCCCTTTGCCATTACTTTTCAGTCAGATAACTATTTCCTGTTGGGAGTGATTTTATATTCTGGGAAAGTGGTGTTGAAAATCTGAATATCTTGTGCATACCAATACCATCACAATCTATGAACACCCCCACCGCAACACATGGTAGAGCACTCAATCAAACTGTGTATGAGCTAAGACGTTTTTGTTCCCTGTAGGCTGAGCGTCGCCTCCTGCTGACAGGGACCCCACTACAGAACAACTTGGTGGAACTGATGTCACTGCTCTGTTTTGTCATGCCAGAGCTCTTCATCGGGAAAACAGAACCGCTGAAAAGGATATTTGCCATGATTAGTGTAAGTGATAGAGCAGAGTAAAATGTAATGAATTTTGTTTTTGTATTTTCGGAGGTAACACATTTTCATTTATTTTTGTTGCTGATTTTTTAAAAATATTATTAGACAATTGTAAAAAGCTATAAGAATTTTGTAGTGCAGTTTTTTGTTGTGATTAAGCACTTAAATAAAGATTTTTGTTGTTTGCTGACGACTGTCGTTTGTTTTGTTACAGCGAGATGACAGTCAGGGTCGCTATGAGAAAACTAGAATAGCACAAGCTAAGAGGATCATGAAGCCTTTTCTACTGAGAAGACTCAAAAGTGAGGTACGTTGTATTTTGGTACATGATGTGGAAATACCTGATTATGATTGGTCTGCCAGGCTCAGATCACAATAAACACTGTTGAGTGAAACAACTGCGATGACACTGTCACAACGACAGAAGTTGTTGCTTATGGAGGAGGAAGTTTGTCAGAGAACACTTTGAAATGATATGTTATCTGATTACACAGTCAACAAACTGAGTTGTGGTTACCAGGATATGGAAAACCAAATTCTGCTTTGTGTGGGTAAATGTGTAAAGTAGGATTATCTAAGGAAAACAGTGAATTTGATAATAAGTAACACGTTTTCTTGTTGTTTTAGTAAATAGTTGTGAACGTATTTAGAACTGTACATTGATGGTATTTTGAGTTAGTTTCCTAGTCCTTGTTCAGTTGAGCTTGCTGCATATTATGGATGGTCTGTTCTATATTATGATCATGAAGATGGTCTGTTTTATTAGATAATGATCTGTATTATGGTGGTTTGTGTATCGTGATGGACTGTATTATGATGATCTGTGTATAATGATGGTCTGTGTTTTATGACGATCTGTGTTTTATGACGATCTGTGTGTAATGATGATCTGTGTTTTGTGACGATCTGTGTGTAATGATGTGTTTTTGTCTTTCTGTCCATGATGATCTGTGTTTTGTGACGATCTGTGTGTAATGATGATCTGTGTGTAATGATGATCTGTGTGTTATGATGATCTGTGTATTATGATCTGTGTGTTATGATGATCTGTGTATATGACAGACTAGTTTGCCATCTGTATCTGTCCATTATGATGATCCGTGTTTCACGACCGAGTGTATTATGATGGTCTTTGTAATATAATTGTCTCATGTGATCATGTGCAGGTTCTGAAGCAACTGCCCAAAAAGACCGAGGAGGTAGTCCGGTGTCCGATGATCCCAGACCAGCAGGAGCTGTACGAGTCCCTGATTGGCCAGTACGCCCGCCAGATGGACAGCAGTGACAGCCCTAATGGTGGCATGTCCATGTTCATGCAGCTCCGCAAGGTGGCCAACCATCCGCTGCTAGTGCGCAACCACTACACAGATGAGAAGCTTATGGCCATGTCCAAACAGATTGCCAAGGTGGGTCTTGTGTCATGATTTGTAGCCTGTCCAAACATTGCCAAGGTGGGGCTTCTGTTATGAATTATAGTGATGTCCAAACAGATTGCCAAGGTGGGTCTTCTGTCATGAATTATAGTGATATCCAAACAGATTGCCAAGACGGGTCTTGTGCCATGATTTATATAGCCTGTCCAAACAGATTGCCAAGGTGTCTCTTCTGCCATGAATTATAGTGATATCCAAACAGATTGCCAAGGTGGGTATTCTGTCATGAATTATAGCCTGTCCAAACAGATTGCCAAGGTGTCTCTTCTGCCATGAATTATAGTGATGTCCAAACAGATTGCCAAAGGTGGGTCTTCTGTCATGAATTATAATGATATCCAAACAGATTGCCAAGGTGGGTCTTGTGCCATGATTTATATAGCCTGTCCAAACAGATTGCCAAGGTGTCTCTTCTGCCATGAATTATAGTGATATCCAAACAGATTGCCAAGATGGGTCTTCTGTCATGAATTATAGTGATGTCCAAACAGATTGCCAAGGTGGGTCTTCTGTCATGAATTATAGTGATGTCCAAACATTGCCAAGGTGGGTCTTCTGTCATGAATTATAGTGATGTCCAAACAGTTTGCCAAGGTGGGTCTTCTGTCATGAATTATAGTGATGTCCAAACATTGCCAAGGTGGGTCTTCTGTCATGAATTATAGTGATGTCCAAACATTGCCAAAGGTGGGTCTTCTGTCATGAATTATAGTGATGTCCAAACAGATTGCCAAGGTGGGTCTTCTGTCATGAATTATAGTGATGTCCAAACATTGCCAAAGGTGGGTCTTCTGTCATGAATTATAGTGATGTCCAAACAGATTGCCAAGGTGGGTCTTCTGTCATGAATTATAGTGATGTCCAAACAGATTGCCAAGGTGGGTCTTCTGTCATAAATTATAGTGATGTCCAAACAGATTGCCAATGTGGGTCTTGTGCCATGATTTGTAACCTGACAGTTGAGACCAGTGCTCATGATAGCATTCCTTGGTTTGTCTGGTACATACTTGATTATTTACAGACAGCCATCATACACCCGAAATATTGCTGACTGTGGCGTTAGACAATGAGGATTTATGATGCTGATGCTGATACTGATTCTGTTTCAGGAGCCATCCCACAGAGACAGAGGAGCACTGCCCCACCTCATACAGGAAGATATGGCTGTACTGAACGACTTTGATATAAACAATCTCTGCCACCAATACAAGGTGAGGCTTGGGGATTTGATACACATCCAGTGTTTCCATTCTCCGGTATATACCTGAAAATTGCCGGAAAAATGCGTTAGGGACCGGTAAATTGAAAGCCAGCCGGACTATGTGTCCGGTAAATAATAATGCATTAAAATAAAAAAAATCATGGGTAAGCGAAATGACAGTCTTGGCTGTGCTTTCATGGTCGCAAAAATTGTTATGTTTTGGAAATACCCAGGCTAAAAATAACTTTAAAATGAGTACTTACAGTATGGTAATAGGATATGACCGGCAAATTTCATTCATGACCAGTAAAATTTTAGGTCGCAAGACACAGTGTCCGATAAATAATTAAGTCAGCGGAAACACTGCACATCTCAAACGTCAACCCCGGGTGTTCGGGGTGATGAGAGAATGCTTTAACAACTGGTCTACCCCACCGCCCCTTACTCTAGAAATAACCTCGGAGATATAATCTGATATGTGAGCCCACCTTTTATAAGGCGATAGATGCATAACTACAGCATTTTGTTTCAACATTGATTGGTTCAGTTCCTTGCTGTTGATTATTTGTTCTGTCAACAAGTTTTCTGTTATTAACATGGCATCTGTGACCTGCAAAATACAACAGAAAATGGCAAAATATTTCACAAAATGTCAGGGGCGTAGCCACCATTATAAAAAAAAAAGCCCAGGCTTACACATGATTGTTGCTAGAAAGGTTGGGCAATCCCCTCAATACTATCTAAATATAAAGCTTTGCAACCTATCGGGCTTACACAAAAAAATTGGCTTGCTACGCGCCTGAATGATATATGGAAGGGGAACCCTATGATCTGAAGTAGGTGTGATCCTGGTGCAGATTTATCCCCCTTAGTCATGCCAGTATCTGGTGTTTGACTTTCAGATTCACCCAATGTGATAGTGCTTTTTCCTTTGATGTTAATTTCACTGAATTCACTGATCTTTGTATTATTTCTCTTTCTTTTTCTATGAGACATTTTAGAAATCACTGTCTATTTTTATAATGCTTTTCATAAATGAATTACTGCAGTGAATTACTGCACTGTATGGTATTGTTTCAAGATGAGTTTGAGCGAACTCTCCAGACCAAGTATGGTATTATGCTTAGGTGTGTATTATATGACAGGTGTTATATTTCAACATGGAATATTTGTCATTGCAGAAATATATAGGTTCCTTTGCATTAGACATCAACCTGATCTCTGAATCAGGAAAGTTCCGGATGCTGGATGATCTGCTGGAGAAGTTTGAGAGACAGGTAACACATCTTTTGCCAATAGCCTCCCTTTATTTATAGTGCTGAAGACTTAGTTTTGGAGGATAAATTTATTTACTTTTGTTTGTTGTTCAATGCCACACTCAGCAATATCCCAGCTTTATGGCAGTGGTCTGTAAAAAATTGAGTCTGGATCAGATGATCCAGTGGTCAACATCATGAGTATCAATCAACGCATTTGGGATATGATGACATGTGGTTATTCAAGTCAGCAAGTCTGTTTTTGATAAGTGATTAATGGCCCTGTATATGTGCATTTTAAGAGATTAAATTAATCCAGGTATCGATAGAAATAGGAGTGGAAATGGATTGTGTGTTCCATCTCAGTGACATGTTTGATTGTGTGTTCTCGTACCCTGACAAACTGCATCATCGCTTACCATATCCTTCACAGGAGTACCATGTCCAGACTCAGTTTACTGGCGGCTGTAATGTAGGGAGACTAATGCTGAGTGTCTATTGAAACCACAAACAAACATTCATCTGGGATAGATTACCTTGATTCTTTGTGCAGAGTTGTGAATGTTAGGCACAGGAGACACTGCAGTATTTGTAAATAGTTTGATTTATCAGTGTTACACTTAAACTGAGCTCACTGAAGCATGATTCAATGTTTGTTGACTGTTTCCGCCTGTTTTTGTTGACTGTTTCTCCCTGTGTTTGTTGACTGTTTCTACCTGTGTTTGTTGACTGTTTCTGTCAGTGTTTGTTGACTGTTTCCGCCTGTTTTTGTTGACTGTTTCTCCCTGTGTCTGACAGTGTTTGTTAACTGTTTCTGTCAGTGTTTGTTGACTGTTTCCGCCTGTTTTTGTTGACTGTTTCTCCCTGTGTCTGACAGTGTTTGTTGACTGTTTCTGACAGTGTTTGTTGACTGTTTCTGCCTGTGTTTGTGGACTGTTTCTCCCTGTGTTTGTTGACTGTTTCCCCCTGTGTTTGTTGACTGTTTCCCCCTGTGTTTGTTGACTGTTTCTACCAGTGTTTGTTGACTGTTTCTGCCTGTGTTTGTGGACTGTTTCTCCCTGTGTTTGTTGACTGTTTCACCCTGTGTTTGTTGACTGTTTCTACCAGTGTTTGTTGACTGTTTCTGACAGTGTTTGTTGACTGTTTCCCCCTGTGTTTGTTGACTGTTTCTACCTGTGTTTGTTGACTGGTTCTGCCAGTGTTTGTTGACTGTTTCTGTCAGTGTTTGTTGACTGTTTCAACCTATATTTATGGACTGAGTTTCTGTGTTTGCAGGGTGACCGAGTTTTACTGTTTAGTCAGTTTGTGATGATGCTGGACATCATGGTGCCCTACCTTAACGAAAAGGGGATACGTTTCTTGAGACTTGATGGATCTACACCAGTCCCAGAGAGGTGAGTTTGCTGCTGCAGGGAGATTGTCTCATAACTCTCACTCCTTTTCTTTGTCTTGGTTTATTATTGTTTTGTATATTCAGCTAATATGGGTCTCGTCTTAGCCACTGAAGTTGTGTCATATTAGGACTCTCCGACTATTAATAATTGTTTATAATGGAATTGCTTGATTTGAATATGACATGACATATGGGAGTGATTTCATTTATAGTGCATCTATGGAGAGAAGGATGTGATTAGTTGTAGAAAGTGCATACAGTTCAGTTTTTTAATCGTTAATGTTTACCTTACTTAAACTTTTTGCTATTTTCTGACAGTGTTTCTTATAGGTTGTGAAATCTTTGAAACCTACCACTTATTGTATAACTGACACAATTTGAGACTTACACTGTGCAGTCCCTTGTACTCTTGAGCATGTATGGCTACATCCGTGCAGAGTTGTGTCCCTTACACATGTCAGGAGGCTATGATATTGGGTTTGAATCCCAGATGTGCTCTGATTGTTATGTTTCAGTGCTTGTCTGCACCATGCCTTTGCATGAAGGTTTTAAATGTCTAACACATGGCGACTTTGCTTGTTGTAAGAGGCGACTAATGGGATCGGGTGGTCAGGCACTGACTTGGTTGACACATGTCATCGGTTCCCAATTGCGCAGATTGATGCTCATGCTGTTGATCACTGGATTGTCTGGTCCAGACTCGATTATTTACAGACCGTCGCCATATAGCTGGAATATTGCTGAATGCGGCGTAAAACTATACTCACTCACTCACGCCTTGACATGCATAGCTTCAGATTAATCTCTTACATCAAGCTGACAATTTGTGATATGGACAAAATACTTTTCAATATTGAATTTAACCAGCTAACACTTCACAGTCAGGTCAGTATGTTGCGATGAATAACGAAACACTACACACTACATACACTATATGGCAATATGGTCTTATGTCAAAATGCAGTCTTCAATCACAAACTCAATATATATAATATTATTTTGACTCACACATAAATGTCTTTTTCTGATTGGCGAGCGCTCTTCTATTATTTTCAATGTATCCCGCTTACAAGCGAGTAACATTTTCTATGTATCCCGCTGGGAATGCCGAACTCATTTGGTACTTCGTAGTAGTAATTCTTTATCTCGAATAACATTGAATCACGTATGATGTACGGGAATTACCGTTGTTTTGCGAATGCAAATCGATGGAAAGGAGGTAACCCTAAATTTGTTTTTCTTGTCGTCTGGTACTTCATGCTATGATCCGATACCCGTGCTTCAAACAGTTCAAAATTACCATTGAGGTGTTCGGTAACATAATACATTGTTCACTGGTCCCTCGGGGCCCATGGGTTGATGTACCGTCAATGTTTCTTTATGTTCCCCTCGCCCTTCACATTATAAGTTGTTCACTGGTCTCGAGGGGGACATGGGTTGATGTACCCTCGATGTTTGTTTATGTTCCCTGAGCCCGAAACATTGAGAGTACATGAACCCATGTCCCCCTTGAGACCAGTGAACAACTTACAATATCTGCCTGTGAGGCGCTAGAAGGTTACCAGTCATATGATTTTTCCCATCGGGTACCCATTCACTGCTGGGTGAACAGGCAATTTGGAACAAACTCACTTGGTAACTGTTTGATAGCAATGATTTCACAAGAGACTTTTCCACATCATATGAACTTTGAACTTGCAGACAACGGCTGATAGATGAGTTCAACAACGATCCTGAGATCATAGTCTTCCTGCTGTCTACACGGGCGGGCGGCCTCGGCATCAACCTGACAGCAGCCAACGTGGTTATACTACACGACATAGACTTTAACCCATACAACGACAAGCAGGCAGAGGATCGATGTCACAGACTTGGGCAGACAAAGTAAAAACATAGGTTTCATAAAGAAGTGGACAGGGTTGATTTTAGCATCAATACAGATACATTGATTTGTTTTCGTGATGTTCGATTTCACAATTTGAATGTCGGTGGTGTTTTTGAAGATTGTTTAAGGTGAGACGTTTCATTGACATGTGCACATGGTGCATGTCAGAAATGAATTTTTAACAGATGTATCATGTTTTACATTTGGGGGTGGTAGGGTAGGCTGGTGGTTAAAGTGTTTGCTCATCATGATGTGGACCTGGGTTTGATTCCCCACGTGGGTACAATGTGTGAAACCCTTTTCTGATGTCCCCCGCCGTGATATTGCTGGAATATTGCTAAAAGCTGTGTAAAACTAACCTCACTCACGCACTGTTTTACATTTGGTGGATTATTTCTGTTTCCAATTCATTTAATTGTTTCTGGTTGCTTTTTAAAACAATAAACAACATTTAAAGCTGCCGTTTTCAGCTTACCATGATTGGCAATGATTTCAGATAATATGATGGAATGTACGGGTGTTTTGGAATTTGGTCTCTAATTGTGTCAATGAGACCCCCACTCACACTTATGTTGTCGGGCAGCTGTGAATACTGAATTGTTCAAGAATCATCATCATCATCATCTGTATTGGTCCTTGTGTTCATTATCATGTGGGGCGGTGGGGTAGCCTAGTGGCTAAAGCGTTGGCTCATCACGACGAAGACACAGGTTCGATTCTCCACATGGGTACAATGTGTGAAACCCATTTCTGGTGTTCCCCGCCGTGATATTGCTGGAATATTGCTAAAAACGGCGTTAAACCATACTCACTCACTCATTATCATGTCACGCTTAGGGATGACACAAGGAATTCAAGTACAGCTTGCAATGCATTTAGTATTGTTAAGCTTATTTATATTCTCTATCTCTGTATGTGGTAATTTTACAGGAATTGGTATTTGTTTTACAACTTTTGCAACGCTTATGATTCTTCTGTAATTGCTCATTCTCTTGGTTTGGACGGTGGGGTAGCCCAGTTGTCAAAGAGTCAGGCCGAAGACCCGGGTTCAATTCCCCACAGGGGTACAATGTGTGAAGCCCATTTCTGGTGTCCCCCCGTGAGATTGCTGGAATATTGCTATAAGCGTCGTAAAACAAAAGTCACTCATTCTGTTGACATTGAAGCATAATAACGGCATAATGTCTCATTAGACTCTCAGTTGTGAAAGTTAATCGACAAAGAAACAGGACATCATACTTAATGTGTTGTTGTTACAGGAACGTGAAGATTGTGCGACTATTGAGTCGGGACACGGTTGAAGAGGGCATGTTCCGATGTGCCCAGGAGAAACTCAAGTTGGAGAGAGACGTGACAAAGTCAGATAAAGGTGAGTTAGGCAGAACAGCTTCACAGTATCAGGATTGGGCGGTCAGGCTCACTGACTTGGATGACACACATGATCATATCCCAATTACGTAGATGCTCATGCTGTTGATCACTGGACTGTTGGTCAAGACTCGATTATTTACACACCGCTGCCATATTGCTGGAATATTGCTGAGGGCAGCGTTAAACAACAAAGAAATATTTGTAAATTGCCTGATGGACCCAGGTTTTTAAGTTACAATTAAAGGCATACATTTTTAGTAATTCTCTCTGAGCATAGTGATTTCTGTGTCTTGTTGATTGCCTCTTTCTTCCTGGGGCCATTATTTTCATAGTTTGCGAAGATACCCATAGCCATATGATGTCATGTCATTACTTAGTAACATGTGATGTCTTCCATTTTTATTGATGTTGGTTTTACGTGACATCATTACAAAAGTAGGCAGTTACAGCTGATCTCACCGCTTCAGATGAAAGAACCAATTTTCATTTAATTCTTGGAAAAAAGGTGGTGAAATACAAAAAAATAAATAAATAATAACCCGCTCACATTAAAGTTTACTACTTACTGAAAGATACATTGTTTATTGTTGATGAATGACATGCTACCTTTTCTGTTGGTGGTGTTCCAATTAATTGGAATAATCTATGATTGGTCGTAGTGACCAAATGAAAAAATGACATTTTCTCATAATCGAACACAAACTATTTGGGAACTACTGTTTTAGTGTTGAAACACTTGACGATGGAACATATCTTTGAAGTTGTCAGGGCTGAAAATTTGTTTAGTTCTTAGAAAACTCTCTTTATTTACTGAAAAGTCATGACTGAATATATGTGGAAGACTGAGAAATTTGTGTTCACCTTAAAGTAACAAGTAGCATCATTTTACATGGGATGTGAAATTTGGAAATACAATTTATATAGTTTCTAAATAAAACAAAAAAACAACAGAGAACCACATATTTTCTCTTTATACTTATAACCTATTTTTTTCGATGATTGCTTGTTGGTAATGGACCAATCATCAACCAATTCCCAACACTAATATCTCTAACACTGTTTTCTATTCAGGTGAAAATGAAGAGGATACAAGTGATGTGGTGTCCCTACTGAAACAGGCATTCGCTGAATACAAGAAGAAAACCTCATGACACCATCACATCGTAGATCATCGTTCATCACATCACCAATCATCAGCATCTCGTGCATTTCACAATCAGAATGTGCTATGTCATGTTTAAGCTTTCATCAGTGTGTGTTGCACTTCAGACTTGCCATCCAGGCTTTATCCAGAACTTCCCTCAAGTCTCTATTTATTGATCCGCTTCAGGGGGATCTTACAGATTCAGTAAACCTCATTTTGTAGAAAACGCCATGGATCACTGCTACAGTAATCTTTTGTCTCAAGAGGAAAATGAAGTTGTATATATCTGTGAACGAAATGAAGTTGGTACAAAAGTGGCACTGCACACTGGATTCAGTTAATGAAAATTTTAAAATATACAAAAAGTGAAAAGTGAAATTAAAAAGTGAAGTGTCATCTGGGTATTTTTTCCTATCTTGCCATCTATGCCCAAGGAAGGTATCATCAAGTCATCTCCTTTCTTTAACCCTAAGATTTCTGGCTTAGAATAGGGTCCCAGCATTCAAGATGCTGGTTGCTGTAGCGATCTATTTGATCAGTGCTATCGGTTGGTGACTTGATTGATAGCATGTCATCGTGACCTAGTCACTGCTCATGATATCAGTACCTGGATATGTCTGATTCAGGCCACTCATATACATGTTTACAAATGGAATATTGCTGAGATTGGCATGACATGAAAAGAGACACGTGTATATACTCACCCTTCTTTACCAGATGAGGTAAATATGTCTTTCTGATTATTTTGTATTTCACATGATAGTTTAAGTTAAACTTGATGTGATTAGTTAATTTTGTCTGAAATTTTAAAACAAAATAGACTGTTACTCACTGTGCCATGTGACATTTCCACACTCAAAAATAAATCTGTTGCAGTACAATTGACATTTATCAGCGGTATCTCCAGCTGTAAGTCATGAAGGATGACAGCGTTGTCTACACTCTGTCAAACAAGAGTAATGACAGTGTTGTTTACACTGTCAAACAAGAGTAATGACAGCGTTGTTTACACTCTGTCAAACAAGAGTAATGACAGTGTTGTTTACACTGTCAAACAGGAGTAATGACAGTGTTGTTTACACTGTCAAACAAGAGTAATGACAGCGTTGTTTACACTGTCAAACAAGAGTAAAGACAGTGTTGTTTACACTGTCAAACAAGAGTAATGACAGTGTTGTTTACACTCTGTCAAACAAGAGTAATGACAGTGTTGTTTACAGCTGTCAAACAAGAGTAATGACAGTGTTGTTTACACGCTGTCAAACAAGAGTAATGACAGGGTTGTTTACACTCTGTCAAACAAGAGTAATGACAGTGTTGTTTACACGCTGTCAGTCACAAGTGACAACAGCATTGTTCAGGGCTCCAGATAAGTTTTCAACATCAGGAGTAGGTACTCCTTATTTTTTCAATATAGGAGTACTGGACTGTACAGCATTGCTGTGGTGCGTATGTGCTACGTTTTCTAAATTATTTCCTACCGTATCGTGCATATTTTTTACCTGTACATACGCCGATACGGCCCTTATCTGGAGCCCTGATTGTTTACATGCTATCAATCAAGAGTAATGACAGCATTATTTACACGCTGTCAATCAAGAGTAATGACAGCGTTGTTTACGCTCTGTCAAACAAGCATTATTTACATGCTGTCAAGCAAGAGTAATGACACCGTTGTTTACACTCTGTCAAACAAGAATAATGACAGTGTTGTTTACACGCTGTCAATCACAAGTGAGGACAGCATTGTTTACATCCTGTCAATCAAGAGTAATGACAGTGTTGTTTACGCGCTGTCAGTCACAAGTGACGACAGCATTGTTTACATCCTGTCAATCAAGAGTAATGACAGCAGGCATTGGGATAGAGAACTATGACAATGGGCCATTTCCAGGATTATTAGCCATTTTCTGAATTTAGAATGGGCCCAAACCCTTGTATCAATAGTAAACTTCAAAATTTTAATGGGCCATTTATTTTTCTAATGTGCAAAATGGCCCATGGCCCCTGTCTTTCCCAATCCCTGTGACAGCATTATTTACACGCTGTCAGTAATCCACAACGTAATCTACTTGCTGTCAATCAGAAGTCTCCATCATGACTCCACAAGGGAATTCCTGAATAGAGCCATTGCCAAATGTTGTGTTGTGTGAGGCTGCAGCGATATTCATTTCCTTTTCCAGGTGGTCTTTGCTTATGAAAGTCGGTGATGTGTGCTTTGTGTTTATATGTCATCTACAGAAATCATGCACATTTCTGTAGATCCAAATTGTGATTTTTTCAGTTTTGGAAACTGAATCTTTGTCTGTGTATTGATCTGTGGAGAGTTAGAATATACATATCTTACTGATATCATTGTGAATTTTTAAGTTGTGACCAAGATTGACAGCTTGGTTAGTGACCTTACCACAGCAAGCAGGATGAGGGTAATAGGCTAAGGGTAATTAGAGAAAACCCAGGATAACGTGTTCACATCCGATTTTAAGACAATGCATGGAAAATATACATTATTTACAATCGTCTTGTAACCCTGTCAACATATGCATAAAACGATTTATGAAATTTGTTTTTGCCAGTCTATTTTCCTTGACAGAGTTACCCCAAAATGTGCAATAGTTGAAAAACATTTACTTGATGGAAAATATGTCATTTGCCTAAAACTGACTTTGACAAGATTTCCTTGCACAATTAGACATGCTGGTCAGTCTTGGAACATTGCTGGTATCTCACTGTGTAACAACACACAGTGTTCCTGTGTTCATCTCTGATTCTGGTTATTCAGGGATTGTATTTGTTATTTTCTGAACGCTTGAACTATGTCTTACTTTCTGCATCTTGTGTTAAATTTAAGGGTCAAAACTGAGGGTAATTTCTAATAAAACATATATATATAAAGCATTTTGTCAGTATAGGGATGATCTGTGATAGCATGGGGTACATACATACATCTGATGCATGCAACAGTGGCCTGAAGCATTGTATACTTTTAATGTTATACTGTAATTGATTTATAAATAATATTGAACACTTAAGAATGTGACATTTGAATCCTGTTTGACTCTAAATATGAGATCAGCCTTGATGTTTGTTTGGTTGGGGTGGCCCAATTGCCTGAGGTGCTGTAGTTGTCTCAGTGCTCAGCAGAGTTACATCCCTTGAGCATGCCAGGAAACTTTTAATGGTGGGTGTGAATAAGAGAGTGACTGAGTATGGTTTTACGCTGCTTTTAGCAATATTCCCGGCAATATCACGGCAGGGGACACCAGAAATAGGCTTCACACATTCTACCCATGTGGGGAATCGAACCCGGGTCTTTGGCGAACACTTTAACCACTAGGCTACCCCAACGCAATGGTTGTGAATTAGGATTGGCCCCAGCTATTTTTCTAGGTTTTGCCCAAGACCAGCATCACTTTAGGCTTGAGTCCCATATTAAGCCCACCTGGATATTGCTGGAATATTGCTAAAAACTGCGTAAAACTAAACTCCCTCACCTACGGTCCCTATATTTGATTCCCTATGTGGGTAAAATATGTGGAGCCCATTCTGGTGGCCGATGCCATGATATTGCTGGAATATTGCTAAAAGCGGCGTAATACTATACTCACTTACTCGCCCATATTTAGCTGATAGGTCAATCACTCAATTATTCATTATGGATGTGTGATTTGCATTATGAAAAGGATGTATTCACAAAAAAGGGCAGATTTCTTGTGTATATATAATACAGTGTTTCCTGAATTCTTGTCGCCTTTGTGTTTGAAATGTTTGGTCAAATCAGCAGTCAATTAAATGAAGCAAATATGAAAAGCATGAGCCTTTTTTACTCTTTTTTTAATCATCCATGGTTCTTCCTGAGGGTGTATGAGTTTGAAGCAGTTTGTTTTTCAGTCGAGTGATGAGAAATTGGCACTTCTTGTCTGAAATTAGTATTGCTTGTTGTTCCCAAAGAAGATGCTTACTAAATATGAACAAGGCCTCATATGTTTTGTATCTCCAGCCACTGAGGATTTCTTGCTTTGTATTGTCATTAAAAGTAACAGAAAAACAGTCACAAAAAGCCGTGAGCATTTGAGACTTGGTAATAAACATTTGAAAAGTGCTTAAGAGAAATTCAAAGAGAAGTACTTGAATTATATTTTGTTTGATGGATTGTCTGCTGGACAAGTTGTGAAATCCACTGAAAAACATGATAAGGACCTTTCTTGTGTTTGGGAATGGACAAAGGCAGCAACAGCCATTACTATCCAACATTAATGTGCAATGGAGTTTATTCTTTTCTATACTCTACTGTGATCATTCGTATTAAGAATTTGTTTTTCTGCTTGAACTCTGGGAATTGTCTTTTTATGAAAAGTTCTTAGTTCAGTATGAATGTGTAAAAACTGCTGACCTTAAATATCGGTGAAAATTTCTGAGAAAGTATTTCTACTTTTTGTCAAATGTTTATGTCCATTTAAGTGAAAAGTCTCCTGTCCACTGATAAATCGGTATAAAACATGTTTAGGTAATTGTAAGCATCTGCACAAACATGAAATTTATGTTTACATGTGTCTAACAGCACTTGCCAATTTAAAAATGTATGGGTAAACTAAAATAGTTCTCTATTATTTCACATTATCTAGCATCAAATATTTAGGATGATCCCTTCTATTTTAGTCAAGCATGTATGGAGAAAAGCAACAACGTTTTGTAATCTTTATTAACACAGTAATGATGCCTTTTTTGGTTAATAGAAAATAAACAAAGATGATTAAGTGATTCTGTGGTTTCTGAGTCCCTGAAATTGTATTCAATAAATTGTACAGGACCATGGACACATCTTCCTGGTGTGACTGTTCTCTGTTTATTTGTTTTGTGGGAGATGTCCCCTCAGTAATAATATAAGAATTACTTTTAATAATTATAATAGTCTATATATATATAGCGCTGAGTTCCAGCTAGGCTGCTCACAGGCACTCTGTCTTTCCCTCCATCATAGGATGTCAGTATCAATGTCGTGTTATCAATCTCAACTCCCTGGGGAGCATACAACTCTAGCTGCCACTAGGAGCACCGAGTTAATGTGGCTTTCCCATCCTTACGAGGTAATTACTTCCAGAATTGTTATCCATAACCAATGGTACCATGTCAGTTCATGGCCTTGAATCCTGGTCCATCCCATTTATGTTTCTAGGTTTGTCTGTATCATATCCATGCCTGTTTATTTCACCATGGTGGTGAAGGTATGAGACCTGCTTTACTTGACCCTTTCTACCTATACACAAAGAACCTAATTAAGCACCCCCTGTACTTTTGCAATGATAGGATTTCAACACCTACATAAAACTTCTCATGGTGACCCTGGTGGAAAAGCATGAGTTTTTCTGACCCATATGATCCTTTGAGGACAAAATGATTGGAATCCATGTTGATTTTATGATGATATTTGCTCATTTAAAAAACAACTGATTTTCGTGCAAAACAATGTCTGCACAAGTATGGCCATGGAATGTTTAATGTTGAGTTTATTGTTGAATGTGAACAATTCAAATGTCATTTGGTGTGTTTTACATGATTCAAGGTCAATACCAAGTGTAACCTCCTTGTGACTGTATGACAGCCAGCACCGTCCTCCTCATACACCCTGTCAGCCTCCTGATCCTCTAAAGGGGCAGTTTACGCCATTCCTGGTGTAAAGCAGCTTCCAATTGGGCCAGGTTCTGTACAGGAGGATCCCTTAGTTGTACATGAAGAGGGTCAAGATCGGGCTCATTCAATCGTGAGATATGTCATGGGGTGCATAACGAAGTTCTTTGTGTATACATTAAGCTGACACATCATGTTGTAACTTCAATAGGGGCGGTGGGATAGCCTAGTGGTTAAAAGCGATGGCCTGTCACGCCGAAGACCCGGTTCGATTCCCCACTTGGGCACAATGTGTGAAGCCCATTTCTGGTTTTCCCGCCATGATATTGCTGGAATATTGCTTAAAGCAGCGTAAAACTAAACTCAGTCAGTCAGTAACTTCAATACTGTTCAAAGTGGAATTAAACCCCTCTCACTGACCACGCAAGTTTAGGATCTCCAAAGCTAGAAACTATGCATCACATAAGACACTTCCATGGGCGAAACCAACATATCTAGGTATTGAACAGTTCAGTGGCACAGGGTATTTGATAGAGCTGTTCAATTTTGTCTCAGTATTAGTACTGTTTGGAATTAGTTTGTGGCAAAGTATTTCATGTGTTACCTGTGTGTGGACAGCACACAAAATACCCTGCTGCTTGTAGATCGGTTCTGTATATTCTTGTCTGATGCTGGCTGGCCTGCTTGCTTTGTATCTGTGGAAAATGACATCTTTACGATCTTCTGAATCATTTACTGGGAGTAAATCCCAAGTAAGTCAGATGAATGTCCACATGTCAATCTTGTTCAGGCATGGTGTTAAGATCTTGATCTTTTAGTGGACATATAAATGATCTTTAAGTGGAAATATAGATGCAGATATAAAAAACCCGAAGTTTTATGTTTTTGTTTTTTAAGAAAAACATATCGTCTTATCTTTTTCCTCAGTCAAAATATGCTGTCATGTGCGAGGTGTGTGCACACATGTGTAAACAACACCTAACAGTAAATGACAATGACTACCGTAGTTCGAAATCATTGTTAATGGGACGTTCACCTTTGTAATTGAAGTAATAAGTCATTAAATAAGGTGCGGTTTGGAGTATTTTGATTATATTGTGGGTTTGAAGTTTGTCGCCCTGAACACATACTTGTCCCCAGAGTATCGAGGGCACTTGATTGAGTTTTAATTCTGGGAGCTCTCTGACGTGAATCTTCATGGTGCCTGGATTGGTGTTCATGATTTCAGTCACTGGTTTGCCCAGTCAGTTACTTACAGGCCGCCGTCATGCATCTAAATATTGGTGATTATTGAGTTTTCTAACATTTACTAAATTTGCATTTACTGCTATCAGGGACCAGGCGTTGGAGCTCTTTACCCGTTACTCTCACCCATTAAAATCAGACCTCGGTGTTCTCTACTGCCAACGGTCAGTGGGGTAGCTTAGTGGTCAAAGTGTTTGCTCGTTACGCTGGGCCCGAGTTCAGTTCCCCACATGTGTATGGGTACAAGTTGGGAAGAATTTTTCTGGTGTCCTCAGCCGTGATATACTAGTAGCTGGAATATTGCTAAAAATGGCCGACTTACTTACTATCGCATTACGAGTTTCCTAAATTATATTTATTGGGTCAGATAGCATGATAGCCTTATGGTTAAAGCGTCTTTTCGTCACGCTGAAGACCCGGGTTCGATTCCCCACATGGGTACAATGTGTGAAAGTGTTCCCCCGTGATATTGCTGGAATATTGCTAAAAGCGGCGTTAAACCATATTCGCTCGTTCGTTATTGGGTCAGATATAATGCTGGCAGCTCATTTTGAGACTGTTTGTAGTGCTAGTCAATTACTTTTAAAATTACGTAGTCATTTTTAAGTTTACCAGATGTTTTTTGGAAGAGAGATATAATGTCCCGAGTTATAAAGTGGAAGGTACCAAAGATATTTGTTGATCACAGGTTGTAAATATTCCATGTATACATGCAAATAAATGTGGAGTCTGTACGTTTGTTGTGTCAGTTATTGTTTCGACCGCACAAACTGTCTGGTTCGTTGTCAGTAGTTCTCGGACGATCCAGTAACACTGTTGTATGGGCGTGTAATCAATGAGGAATGGAGTGGAAAGGTGCTATTAGGGTATTTATTGATTCATATACTGTCGCGGAATTAACACTTCGTTTGTACTGTTTGTTGTTTAACGCCGCACTCAGCAATATTCCAGGTGTATGGCGACTGTCTGTAAATAATATAGTCTGGATCAGACAATCTAGTGATCGACAGCATGAGCATCGATCTGCGCAATTAGAATACGATGACATGTGTCAACCAGGTCAGCGAGCCTGACCACCCGACCCCATTAGTCGCCCCTAACGATAACGTTTGTACATGTACAGTGCAGTCGTCACTTTGGTACTTTCTCTAACCGCTAAAACCGTGCTCGTCTCGCAGTCTTTCAACGATACTGCTGTAATACATCCTTGGCCTATATGTTTAACAAGTCCTGATTCTACCTTTTCTTACCCCCTCCTTAGAGGACAAGATAGTGTCTCTGCCCGGAATGTGGAACGCTGCTGGTTCGATTCCCAGTTGCGTCGTACAAAAAGGCATCTGGCTTGGTACTATCACGCACACACACGCTATCGTCCTGATTGACACTGTCACGCACACGAACAATATGTGACCCTATTTTAACTCATTTGACACTACCTGGTAGTGTGAATACTGTTATTACGCAGCAAGTCTCCAACATCTTTCGAGTCTTTTGGATTCCGGGTTTGGGAACCGATGTTTCTCGTAAATGGTGACTAATTCGATAGCGTCATCGGGTTTGGTACCTTGTTTGTGTGCACACAAACGATGCCCAAAGATGAAGAGCGTTGTTCGTGATGTCATTTGTTGGTTTGCTGTTAAATGTCGCGCTCAGCAATGTAATGGCGGCGGTCTGTAAATAATCCAGTCTGGACCAGTCAGTCCAGTGATCAACAGAGCATCGATCAATTCGGATACGATGATATGTGTCAACCAAGTCAGCAAGTCTGACCACCCGATTCCCTTAGTTGCCTCTTGCGACAAGCATGGCTTGCTGAAGATCAGTTCTAACCCGGATCTCGTAACATCAATCACTATACCACAATCAAGTATTTGCAGAATAATGTGCTATAGCTTGAACGTTACTGACATCAAATCACAGACATCGATGTTTTATTTGAACACGTTCCGTTACGATTTATTATTTGGATAACAATGGTAAATCTAGAATTCCAAAAACAAAATTGTCGTGAATCAATGTTTGTCGTACAAACCAGGGAGACAAGGGGTGCCACGAGAGATTTGTCTGAAACTTATCAGTTGCTGTGAACAGTTGTGTCTAATTGGTAACTCAGAGAGATATGACAACGGACCCCGCTTCACTTTCATAATGTTTCTTGCCTTGTCAGCGAAGTAGACGTACGAGACCTGCATTCTATCGAGTTTTCATCGCACATACATTTGACACACCGTGATACTACTGGAATACTGTTAAGAACGGCCTTCAACCCAACCTCATCATTCTTTTAAAAACATAGTACTTGGCATGTAGTTGTGTCATATAACGGGTAAGTTTCTCGACAGGTAAAGGCCTACGGGTGGTTGGTTGGTATCTTTGTTGTTTAACGCCGCACTGAGCAATATTCCAGCAATATGGCGGCGTTCTGTAAATAATCGAGTCTTGACCAGACAATCCAGTGACCAACAGCATGAGCATCAATCTTCGCAATTGGGATACGATGACGTGTCAACCAAGTCAGCGAGCCCGACCACCCGATCCCGTTAGTCACCTTTTACGACAAGCATGGGTTGTTGAAGACAAATTCTAACCCGGATCTTCACGGGTGAAAGGCCTACGGACAAAAAAGGGTCTCTGTTGTGGTCATGCACGTCACTTTTGTATCACTTTTAGTGTCTGCAAAAACAATACCAAAACTTGGCTTCATCCTTCGTCGATTCATATTTGACATCAGGCATCCAGGTAAGCTACTGAGAATATATATCACGACTGATTTGAGAATTAATCCTTGGTTCAGATGGATGGAACAAATTATGAAGGATTACTTGAACTACATCCGACTATGCCGATCTACTATCAGAATAATTCACGTACTGAAATTAAAATAAAACTAACTTTTGTAGTGAAATTTTGGTGTCCTTACATTTACGATGAAAATAATGTCGTAAGATGCCAAAAGGTCACTGTTGCAGTTGGAAATATATCGCTGTCACTGTCACTAATCCCTGATCTTGTGACATATTGTATTCGATCGCACATTCTAGGAAAATCCTTCGATACGTTACTGAGAGATGAGTTTTCTTTTTTTCCAAGAGATTTTGTACGAATGACATGAGATACAGATGTTATATAACGCTTGCTTGCTTTGGAAGAGTGAATGTCCACAGACACACTTCCGTGATGACCAACACTGGTCTAGCGCCTTTCAACATGGAGCACTATTGGTGTCTTTGGCATCAAGAAACTACTGTCGGCGAAGACTATTTTTTCCTGAAAAGAAAAAAGAAACACATTGCGATTAGAGTATGTGATGTGCCTGTCGGAGTATACCAGAATATCTGAATATAATTATGTCATTTAAACAGATGTGGGAACAGAATGAACAAAAAATACATTTACATTGAAACATAAATTTGCAAATAGTGAGCATCTATAAAAATAGCTAAAAAGAAGAGGTGAGGTGAGGTGAGGTGAGGTGAGGTGAAATTGGATTTAACGTCGTGCTTGAGAATATTTCGCTCATATGACGCCGTGCATGCGTGTGTATGTGTATGTGCGGCTGCTTGTACTAGACTTAAGCTGGTTTTATAGTGCTAGCTCACTGAGATACCATGACGCAGTGAAGCATAGATACCCCACTCAGACACATTATACTGACTCCGAGCCGACCAGTCCTTGTTGTACCCATTAATGCCGAGCGCCAGGCAGGGACCAACAAGTGCCATTCTATTATATGGTCTCTGGTATGACGCGGTCGGGGATCGAACCCGCGACCTTCCGCTCTCCGGGCGGACGCTCTAACCACTACACCACGGAGGCGGTCAAAAAAGAAGAGAAGTAATAGTGTTGTATCTATGGCCTCTGATTACAGAAGTGGAAATATTTGAATGGAGGCACCAACTGCGATGAGTTTAACATACAGTATACAACGGTAAAAGCGAACTCAAATGAACCACTAATCGTTGTTCGTTATAAGGGTAGTTCGTTTTGCGCTTATGTGCAAAAATATGAAGCAAGTGGCCGGGAAAAAAATGATTTCGTTATGTACCAGTTCATCATAAGCGTGTTATAATCGTTGATTACTGTACGTTTATTGAATCTTTGCTACTCTTATCAATACTGTAGAGTGAGTGAGTGTAGTTCTACGCCGCTTATAGCAATATTCCAGCAATATTATGCCGAGGGACACCAGAAATGGGCTTTACACAATGTGTCCATGTGGGGAATCGAACCCGGGTCTGCAGCGTGACCAGTGAACTTAACCACTAGGCTACCCCACCGTCCCCGAATACCGTAGAAAACACACGGGTCTAGAGAGAGATGAAAAAAGAATGCCATTTTTTACTTTTTTACGAACATCTAAAACATTAAAAGAAAACAATACCTGGGTCTTCTTCGTCGTGCTGAACTTCACCGCCCTCAGGACTTTGATTATTGCTACTTTCAGTTCGAAAACCGCCAATCTCATCCCCACACAAACCCTTGGACCAGCCCCAAACGGAATGTACGCCATAGGATGTCTCACCGTGTTTTCAGACCATCTAGAAACAAAATATCCAAAGCACATCAGGTGTACTCATCAACACAGTCTTACGTGAGAAACCTAGAAAGACCCTAGAAAGTTCGAATCGTTTGTCAGCATCACACCCCGTGCTGGATGGTTTCGCCAAATGGAAATGTCTGTGATCGTCACCACTTTGTTCTTTCTTTCCACATCCTCAGTCACTCACTCACTCTGTTCAGGCAGTGGTAATGTACGCTGGTGTTATATTCTCTTCAGGACCATTGATGTGATGAAAATATTTACCTTCAATGGATATGCCCTCAGATGCTGACGGAATAATGTACCATATCAGTGTAAAGATTTCAAGGCAATGAGATAATGTTAAGCCCTACTTTTGATCATCGTCTCTCTGCCTAATCAGAAAGAAGACCCTGAGAAATCGTTTCCTTCCAGTATTGTTTAGGACCGACACTGAAGTTGCCCATACGGGGGCATGTTCCGTACTTATATTAATCAGAAAGTCTAATATATACGTGTTTGTCAAGGTACTCGAAGACTTTTTCTGACATTTGAACACCACGAACAGTAGACACGAACATTTAGTCTTGTGTCTGATCTCAGTTAGATATTTTTGTCTGTTTCACTCAGTTTAACATAGTCGCGAACTTAATCATTTTATGAAAGACTGAGTGAGTGAGTGTGTTCATACGCCGCTATTAGCAATAATATGCCAGCAATATCAAGGCGGTGAATACAACAAATGGGCTCCATTCATTGTACCCATGAGGAAATTCGAACCAGGGTCTCGGCGAAACGTGCAAAAACCTGAACCACTTGGCTACCCAAAAGCTTCGATTATATACTCATGCCAATAATGGTTATCATGCCAATAATGGGGGTGACAACCATTATTGGCATGAGTATATTATGCGGTAGTACGTATGGTTGATTGATACCTTTACAATCAGGCATTAACGTTTTCTTTATCTTTAAGAGCACCAATCCATAGTTGGCCGAGAACAGAGAATGAAACGCATTAAGTAGAGGCTGAGGAACATCTTGACACTGAATCACATTGTCTGTCGAGGATTTACCTGTCAGGGTTGAACGTGTCCGGGTCGGGGTAGATGGCGGGGTCCCTGTGGATGTGGAAGATGGGGATGTAGACGTTGCTTCCCTTTGGGAACGTCACACCCTTTATGGTTCGAGTCTGCACCGTATGTCTGTTCACCCTGTGATAGAAGTTCTAAAATGTATGTCACTTAACAACTTCACGAATACTTAGTTGTAAACATAATGTCTCGGTTTCTTGTAAATATAATGTCTCAGGTTCTTGTAAACATAACGTCTCATGTTCTTGTAAACATAATGACTCAGGTTCTTGTAATCATAATGTCTCAGGTTCTTGTAAACATAATGACTCATGTTCTTGTAAACATAATGACTCAGATTCTTGTAAATATAATGTCTAAGGTAGTTTGTAAACATAATGTCCCCGGTTCTTGTAAACATAATGTCCCCGGTTCTTGTAAACATAATGTCTCAGGTTCTTGTAAACATAACGTCTCATGTTCTTGTAAACATAATGTCTAAGGTTCTTGTAAACATAATGAATCAGGTTGTTGTAAACATAATGACTCAGATTCTTGTAAATATAATGTCTAAGGTAGTATGTAAACCACAATGTCCCCGGTTCTTGTAAACATAATGTCTACGGTTCTTGTAAACATAATGTCTCAGGTTCTTGTAAACATAACGTCTCATGTTCTTGTAAACATAATGTCTCAGGTTCTTCTTGTAAACATAATGTCTAAGGTTCTTCTTGTAAACATAATGTCCCCGGTTCTTGTAAACATAATGTCCCCGGTTCTTGTAAACATAATGTCTCAGGTTCTTGTAAACATAACGTCTCAGGTTCTTGTAAACATAATGTCTAAGGTTCTTGTAAACATAATGACTCATGTTCTTGTAAACATAACGTCTCATGTTCTTGTAAAAATAATGTCCCCGGTTCTTGTAAACATAATGTCCCGGTTCTTGTAAACATAATGTCCCCGGTTCTTGTAAACATAATGTCTCAGGTTCTTGTAAACATAACGTCTCAGGTTCTTGTAAACATAATGTCTAAGGTTCTTGTAAACATAATGTCTACGGTTCTTGTAAACATAATGACTCATGTTCTTGTAAACATAATGTCTCATGTTCTTGTAAACATAATGTCCCCGGTTCTTGTAAACATAATGTCTCAGGTTCTTGTAAACATAATGTCCCCGGTTCTTGTAAACATAATGACTCATGTTCTTGTAAACATAATGTCTCATGTTCTTGTAAACATAATGTCTCAGGTTCTTGTAAACATAATGTCTACGGTTCTTGTAAACATAATGTCTACGGTTCTTGTAAACATAATGACTCATGTTCTTGTAAACATAACGTCTCATGTTCTTGTAAACATAATGTCCCCGGTTCTTGTAAACATAACGTCTCATGTTCTTGTAAACATAACGTCTCAGGTTCTTGTAAACATAATGACTCAGATTCTTGCAAACATAATGACTCAGATTCTTGTAAACATAATGTCTCATGTTCTTGTAAACATAATGACACAGGTTCTTGTAAACATAATGACACAGGTTCTTGTAAACATAATGATTCATGTTCTTGTAAACATAATGTCTCATGTTCTTGTAAACATAATGTCTCAGATTCTTGTAAACATAATGTCTCATGTTGTAAACATAATGTCCCCGGTTCTTGTAAACATAATGTCCCCGGTTCTTGTAAACATAATGTCTCAGGTTCTTGTAAACATAATGTCTACGGTTCTTGTAAACATAATGTCTACGGTTCTTGTAAACATAATGACTCATGTTCTTGTAAACATAACGTCTCATGTTCTTGTAAACATAATGTCCCCGGTTCTTGTAAACATAATGTCTCATGTTCTTGTAAACATAACGTCTCAGGTTCTTGTAAACATAATGTCTCAGGTTCTTGTAAACATAATGACTCATATTCTTGTAAACATAATGTCTCATGTTCTTGTAAACATAATGGTTCTTGGTTCTTGTAAAAACATAATGTCAGGTTCTTGTAAACATAATGTCACAGGTTCTTGTAAACGTAATGTCCCCGGTTCTTGTAAACATAATGTCCCCGGTTCTTGTAAACATAATGTCCCCGGTTCTTGTAAACATAATGTCTCAGGTTCTTGTAAACATAATGACTCAGGTTCTTGTAAACATAATGACTCAGGTTATTGTAAACATAATGTATCATGTTGTTGCAAACATAATGTCTCAGGTTCTTGTAAACATAATGAATCAGGTTCTTGAAAACATAATGTCTTAGATTCTTGCAAACATAATGACTCGGATGTTTGCAAACATAAAGTCTCAGGTTTTTCTCAGTTGGATGTGGCAAGAAAATCCGAAGTGATGCAGGTCTCCGACGTTTACCGCTCTTATCCAACCCACGACCACGGGTATCATAGGTTCCTGGCGTGTGTCAAGGGACGCAACACTGCACAACTAATTGCGATGCCTTAGACAATTGGATCATCCGTGCCCCAAGTAAAGGTAAGAACTCGTCGGTACATTTTCGATAATCTCCAGGGTATACGTTCCGATATAAAGTACCCTGGAGATCCTCGATACATCCTCGATAATCTCCAGGGTAAACGTTCCTATAATGCTCACGGTTTTTAGGGAAGCCGTATCATGACCGTCATGATCTAGGAACACGATTTGGAGGAATCAACCCAAGGGTCGCAACTCTGTTCAGCGACTTGTGCCTTAAATGTGTATTTAATATCTTCAAGTACACTTACCCGTATATGACAGGGTACATACGTAGAACCTCCTTCACGACCTTGTCCAGGTATTTCAGTTCGCCTACATTGTGGTATGTCGGCTCTTCCTAAAGTGAGTAGGAAAGTGAGTGAGTGAGTGAGAGGATGTTGGACCACCTTAAATAATAATCCAGCGATATCATGGCGGGGGACACCAGAACTTACCTTCTAACACTGTACCCAAGTGGAAAATCGAACCTGTGTTGGAACTGGCAGCGCAAGTCGCTGAATTATTTACAGACTGCTGCTATGTATAAAAAAATATGACTTTAACCATCATGCAGTTGTTGTTGTTGGTTTTTTTCCGTTTGATGCTCTCCCGCTACGCTGGTGTCCTCCCATTCTTCAGACAGTCATCCATCAGACAGTCATTCTTCAGACAGCCATTCTTCAGACACTTGAGTAGAGGGATTAATTACCCTCACCCCACAGCAATAATGGAACAGCTTAATTAACCTACTCAGCGCTCAGGAGAGTAGAACGATTTTTAAACAGAGATTAATTAGCCTACTCAGTGGTTGATATAGTTTTTGATTTTACAATAAGAAAATTACAATCAATTACAATTAGAAAATTCACTATTTTAAATTGGAACCATCTCATATTCACACTCTCAGTACATCTATAAGACACCGGACTAATATTTTCTTGTTCTGATCTATTAATTATTCTATTCAAACACTTTTGACATTTTTCATGTGCATCTGTACTGAATTCTTGAGCCCAAAAACTCTGATAAAACATTTTACAACCCTTTTGTTTATTGATTATGCTGTATACATTAAATGGGAGAGTAGGATCAAATATCCTTTCTTGGTAATCATTAATCAAACTTCTTTTATTATGTCTCGCTACTGTTGACTTGATCCCTTGATATAAGATAAAATGACTGTCTGAAGAATGGGAGATAACCGCTACGCCAAATCTACTCTCACATAATTAAGAGTGAGTGAGTTTGGTTTTACGCCGCTTTTAGCAATATCCCAGCAATATCACGGCGGGGGACACCAGAAATGGGCTTCACACATTGTACCCATGTGGGGAATCGAACCCGGGTTTTCGGCGTGACGAGCGAACGCTTTAACCATCAGGCTACCCCACCGCCCCACATAATTAAGAGAGGCTGAGGACGTTCCATTAAATCAGCTTTGCAAGACCGATTTACTAGGGACATTGTTTAACGCCGTATATAAATAATCGAGTTTGGATCAGACCATCCAGTGATTGACATCATGGGCGTCGATCAACGCAATGTTGGATACATTGACACGAATGAACCAAATCAGCGAGCCTAACCACCCGACCATGTTAGCATTGCAAAGCAAGCATTGGTTGCCGAGCGGTGACGAGCGAACGCTTTAACCACTATTCTACCCCACCGCGCCTTTAATGTATATCAACCCCTGAAGGTCCGGGTTAGAATATTGATCTTCACTAACCCTTGCTTGATGTAAGAGGCGACTAACAGGATCGGGTGGTCAGGCTCGCTGACTTGGTTGACACATGTCATCGGTTCCCAATTGCGCAGATCGATGCTCATGCTGTTGATCACTGGATTGTCTGGTCCAGACTCGATTATTTACAGACCGCCGCCATATAGCTGGAATATTGCTGAGTGCGGCGTGAAACTAAACTTACTCACTCACTCACTTTAATGTATATCACGACGTTATTGTTTGATTTGCATTTTAGAAGTTGATGAATAAAAAGAAAGGTGTGTTACTTTATGGATGATACTTTATTATGGTATGATGCGACGTTTCCGTATAGATTCCTAAGCTGTTGTCAAGCAACAGTGAAGGGCTTTGGCACAGAACAGACTCATTGTATTGGCAAATAAATTGTATTGCAATATATTGCGATTCAGGTACCCGTATTGCGATATATATTGCGATATATTTGGAACTCACCTGGTCAAGATGTTGAAGTGTTTGACAGTAAGTGACACTAATTTAGTACATGTCGATCCTATTTTCTACATTTTAAGTCCCTAAACATATGTTATGGTTCTGATAACAGCAATCTCAAAATTAGGTTGCATAGTCAGGGATTCTATTTTCTCTTTTATACAGTTTATTGCATGACAGTATGCCTTTTTGTAATTGAATAACGAAGGATAACATTTGTTGTGAATGAAAGTGTGTAGATTTTAATTTAAACCATAAAGAAATCACAAAAACTTCATATATGTTCTTTACCCAATATACCGGTTCTCAAAAATATTGCAAAAAATATTAATAATACATATACCATGTATCGTTTGAAAAGCGTATTGCGATATACCGGTATAACACCGTTACCGGTAATTGTAACCATAGCTGCATAGTGCTTCAATTTTGCGGTCCTTTATCGTTGATTTAAGACCGCTAAATGTTCAATTTAAAACGTGGTTTTTAAATTGAACACTTAGCGGTCTTAAATCAACGACAAAGAACCGCAAAATTGAAAACAGAGTAGCTTTATCTTCATTCTTGCACGACAGATGAGCATTTTAAAACCGCACTCTTTTAAGCGCAAGAATACGTGAAGTGGCCTTTTTCCTGGAAATTGCTTGGAATCGTCCAGTTGAGGGACAGGTAGTGTAATGAACAAAATATGACATTTTCAACAGCACAATTTGCTTTATTTCAGGAACCAGTATGGTTCCAGTATGTAACAAGTATGTAACCAGTATGTAACAAGTAGCATAAATAGATCACAAATTATACAGTTTATACTGTGAGCAACTACAGTTATTTGATTTTCTAAAGTGAATTATTCACCTCCCCTTCTCTATCACAATCGACTCGCCCCATTCAAGTTATGAACTCGCAAAGTTTACTCGCCGCTAACTTTATTCGTGGAAGTAATTGTTAATAACGACGCTACTATTCCCAATCTGGATAAGACCCGACATACCAGCTTTTATGTGGGAAACCTGGACAGTGGAAGTGGAAGTTGAAGGACTGGGCATTACGGCGGGGACGGAGGTGGACAGGTTAGGACGTGTGTTGTTGATGTCATGTCCGCTAGACCCAGTTTGAAGTATGGCGGAATCTACTGCCGCTTTTGCGCTGCTGATGAATCAGTGTTATATGAGGACAGACTCTGGCAGTTTTTGTGCCCAGTAATCTTAACTATTTCCCTTGCTTCCACCCCAGCATGTGAAAGCAGTGTAACGGTGGTGGATCTAACACAGTGATTTGTGTAGACCCGACTCAACTCGCAACTGGCCGAGATCCGTTTCATCATCGTTTTCAGTGTGTTGTGACCGAGGGGCTTACTTGTGTACCAAACTTCATCATGTAGTGATCACAGGCTTCACCACGTTATTAGATCCCCGTGAGTTAATCGCGGCTCGCACCTTGTAAGTATTGAGGCCCAAATCTACGGTTTTATGTAGACCCCTGAATCAGGCAATGTCATACTCACAAGATGGCTTCCACGAACTCCCTGTGGCGATCGGCTGTCTCCGGCACTTTCCGTCGGGTCCCCCAACTTCCGGTTGACAGCTCCGATCACCACATCCCTCCTTGTTTTATAGGCTCCTTCCCGCGGAACGAACGGCTGGGGCTGGGGCGGCTGCCAACAGTTCAGGAGTGGTTCCCTGGGTCGTTTTCCCAAACGTGCCCTCCCATGTCCTATCCAGGTGAAAGTGGGCATCGAACAAATGTTCGAGACCCCCTGGACCCTGGAGCGTGCCTTCTTCTGCCGACCCCCCAGACGCAAGCTCCTCTCCCCACGATGTCTCTACTTCCCCACACACCTCTTGGCTTTCTCCAGCGGCCACCATGTCCGCGGACTCATCCTCTTCCCTGACCCGGACCTCTTCGTCCTCCGGCAGCCACATGGCCTCCGCTGGTTCAACGTCCATCAGTTCTCGGTCCCACTCCTGGGGGGCCTGGACCTGAGCAGTCTAGCGAGTATGCTGGGGCGCTGACACCAGAAACAGGCGGAACTCCCTCCTCTTGTCCTGGGGCACGAAATTAAGGAGATGAAGCAGCACCCTCCACTGTTTCAGACACGCCGGAGAATTCAAGGGCCGCAGGCTGAACTTTGTTGGAATGCGCCATCCCTGAGCCGTGCACAAGTGTCTCAGTCCGGCTATCAAGTTTTCCTGTAGCGTGCAGTCAGGGGACAACTGAATGTTGCTGTTGCAGAATTCATGTAGTCCCTCCAGGGTTGCGCCCGGACCCAGAACCCATTACGCCAGCTGTCGTAGGGCCGTCACTATCCTGTCTATCACCTCTCGTTCGGGAGGGTTCTCCTGGGGAAACCGAGCCCGAAAATAACGAGGGAGGTGCGCAAAAAAGGCATGGTCCTGCAGCTTATGGGTTACTGTCCCACACCCCTCTATGGGACAACGGGATCCTCGACCCCTCCACCTCCTGGGCTCTCCCCTCGACACCACCGAGGGTGTCGACTCCAAGACCCCCCTTGGTCTTGGATGGGGACCCCTCCTGTCTTTGGTTTGCTCCAGGAACCGTCCCCTTCCGGCCCCTGGTCGCCCCAAGTGGTCCCACACCACGGGGTATCTCTCTTCCTCCTTTCTTGTCCTTTTAGGCCCCCTGGGTCCTCCCTGAGGAAGGTCTGGTCTTGTCACTGTCGAACTTGGCCTCTTCGGTTGTGGCGGTGGTGACGGCTGGTATTCCACCTCTCTCCTCTGGCATGGTGGCGATCTCCTCCGGCGCTGGATGACAACCCGCACCGGCATCCCCTCCACAGTGGACCGGACAACCACCCGCTCTCCATAACTCCTCTGCCTACTTCGAGTAGGACGCTCCTGTCTCACCTCCACCTCTCTCTCTACCTCTCTCTCTACCTCCTCCAGTCCTCGGCGTGGTTCGTTGGTTCCGCCCGATAAGCACTGCCTAATGTCTGCACCAGGGGTGGGCCTCTCCCGCCACACCGGAACCTTCCTCTCTAGCCTTCCACGATCCATTTCGGTTGAGTCTGATGCGGATTCCTGTAAACCTAAAAACCAACCGCTGATACGATTGCCAATCCCCACCCAACATCTCTAACCGCCCCGAAAGATCAAAACGCCTCTGCACCACCCAAGGGTCCCACTGCTCCTGATCCACAGGTGGGACAGTGGTATTCGTCCATGGCCTCCGCCATGGTCTCTGTCACCCCTACACAAGCTCCATGGAACCACTCATCACAGCCATCACAGGCAATCATAAAGCCCCCGTCATCCGGCTGGCGGCAGGGGCAGTAGACGGGCCCCGTTTCCTCCCCGTCCTCTGCCTTTGTAATGAGATCCCACTCCCCATGTAGAGCGGGGACTTCCTCCCGTTTCTTCCTTCTCTCCATCCAGCGAGGCACACCCCGATCCCGGCACAACTTCATCCGGTCATGGTGGGCCGTGACCGTTCTCCGCTGCCCTGCCACCACGAACAGGGTAGATGACAGCCTCTTCTCAATGAGGTATGGTCCCTTCCACACGGGGTACAGCTTTTTGCACCGCCCTGGTGTAGCCCCTAAGTCTAACACATACACTGGTTGTCCTTGGTCCAACTTTTGGGATCGAGCACGGAGATCGTAATCCCTCTTCATCCTCTCCACTGAAGTTTGCAGATTACTCCGAGCCGCTGCATGAGCACTCTCCATAGCTGCTCGAAGCCCGGCAATGTACTCACTGGTGTCACCTTCTTGCGGGGATTTTCCGGCCCCCTGAACATCAAGTCTGCTGGAACATTTACTTCCCGGCCCAGCATCAGGCGGTTGGCCGTGTAGCCGGTATGGCGGTTCACTGCGGATCTCATAGCTCCCGCCAGCTGGGGCAAGTACTCATCCCACGTGGTTTGAGACTTGGACATATTACAGCGGATCATCTGCATCAGTGTCCGGTTGAATCTCTCTACCTGTCCATTTGAAGAGGGACGGTAGGGGGTCGTCCTTGTCTTTGTTATCTGCAATAGCTGGCAGATTTCATGGAACAGTCGACTCTCGAAGTTCCTGCCTTGGTCCGTATGGATTTGGAGTGGAAACCCAAACCGTGCAAAGAATTCATTCACCGCTGCCCTTGCTGTCACTTCTGCCTTTTGGCTCGGGAGAGGCACACACTCGACCCATTTGTTGAACTGGTCTACCATCATGAGAATGTACTGGTTCCCTGCTTTGCTTGTGGGCAATGGGCCAATAAAGTCCAGGTGCACCCTCTCCATTGGGGCTCCCGCATGGAATGGAGTCATCCTTGACTGGGCCTGCCGTGATGGTTTCTTATTCCGGTTGCAAGCTGAGCATTCGGACACGTAGTCCCTGGTGTCTTGCCCGCACCGGTACCAATGGTACCTCTCCTTTATCCTCTCCTTAGTCTTAGTCACTCCCAGGTGTCCGCTTGATGGGATGTCATGCATCTGATATAGCACCATTCGCTGTAGGGTCCTGGGTGTCAGCAGTTTTTCAGGTTCATTCACTGCTGGAATCCCCTTCCTCACCAGTACTCCATCCTCATTTCGTTCGAATAGCTCCCTATCCACCCAATAGGACTTGGCGGCCGGGCTAGACAAGTATAGTTCTGAGTCTGATGGTACTTCATCCCCGTCCACCCATCTACGCAGGTGTCTGAGATCGCTATCCTCCTCTTGAGCGGTCTTCAGTGCAGTCAGGGAGCCGTCCCAAGAGTCCCTGTCCCCCTTCTGTGGGCACTCTGGTACTGTGAGAGTCCTTACTGAGAAGGTTGTATCAATCCTACACACTTCAAGGGTATGCGCCTGATCCTCTGTCCGACTCCCACCCTCTCCACCGGCATCCTCCCTGGTGGGGGCCTCTGTCAGGTGGTTGCTCTCCTCCACCACTGTCAAGGCCCTGACCGTCCTAGGCCGGCCCGCCAACAGGACCACATAGTCTACCTCTTCATGGAACTGTCCCCACTGTTGGTGTGCCTTCTGGCAGTATCGGCACCCCCAACATGGAAGTTCCTGGAGCTCCACGAATCGCTGG